AAAAAAACAAAAAAAACTATTGAAATCCATGCAAAAAATTCGACCCCACCACTGCTCTGACACGGAAAAACTGTTTGCTGGTAATAATGTCCGCTTTGCACAAAAATACGGACATCGGCAGCTTTGTTAGGGGTGTATGCACATTCTGTGATATAGGCCTAGTGTTAATAATCATCGGATTTGAACAGCGCCCCCATTGAAAGTATACTGCGATCTCTTCCCCTCCCCCCCCCCCCCTTTACCACATTTGATTTTCGGAGGCCGAGTGTTATTGCACACTACTCGATCATGTGTTGCGCAATACCAACAAGGAGGTGCAGGCGCGGATCTGGGGGAGGGGGGGGGGGGGTCCCCAGCTCCATGGGCGTCGCCAGGACTTTTTCTAACGGGGGGCAAAACATTCTTGTATTTTTCAACAAATTCTCGATTTATCAGTTAAAGACGGGTCAGGGATTTTTCATAAAAATTTGCCAAAATATGAATTTCTTTTTAATGATATATCTGTCCCTAAATCGAATTGGAATGTGTTCCATGGTCTTTTACGAGTCTTTCCAGAAAGTTTGGAGCATTTTCATTTTGGGCGTCGCCAGGACTTTTTCTAACGGGGGGCAAAACATTCTTGTATTTTTCAACAAATTCTCGATTTATCAGTTAAAGACAGGGGCAGGGATTTTTCATAAAAATTTGCCAAAATATGAATTTCTTTTTAATGATATATCTGTCCCTAAATCGAATTGGAATGTGTTCCATGGTCTTTTACGAGTCTTTCCAGAAAGTTTGGAGCATTTTCATTTTGGGAAGAAGATTGACAAAAATTGCAGGAGGTTAGCTTTACATTATTCATAAAACTTGGCTAAAATATGAATTTCTTTTTAATAAAATATATGTCCCTAAATTGAGTCGAAATGCGTTCCAGGGTCCCTTAGGAGTCCTTCCTGGAAGTTTGGAGCATTTTCATTTTTTGACGAATATTGACAAAAATTGCAAGTGGTTAGCCTTACATTTTTCATAAAATTTGGCTAAAATATGAATTTCTTTTTAATGATATATCTGTCCCTAAATCGAGTGGGAATGTGTTTGAGGGTCCCTTAGTAGTCTTTCCAGGAAGTTTGGAGCAATTTCATTTTTGACCAAAATTCACAAAAAAATTAGGCTAAAATATGAATTTCTGTTTAATGATATATATGTCCTTGAATCGAGTTGGAATGTGTTCGAGGGTCCCTTAGGAGTCTTTCCAGGAAGCTTGGAGCATTTTCATTTTTTGACCAAAATTCACAAAAATTGCAAGGGGCTAGCCTTACATTTTTCATAAAATTAGGCTAAAATATGAATTTCTTTTTAATGATATATCTGTCCCTTAATTGCAATGGAATGTGTTCCAGGGGACCTTAGGAGTCTTTCCAGGAAGTTTGGAGCAATTTCATTTTTTGACGAAAATTGACAAACATTGCAAGAGGTTAGCCTTACAGTTTTCATAAAAATTGGCTAAATATGAATTTCTTTTTAATGATATATCTTTCCCTAAATCGAGTTGGAATGTGTTCCGAGGTTCCTTGGGAGTCTTTTCAGGAAGTTTGGAGCATTTTCATTTTTTGACTAAAACTGACAAAAAATGCAAGGGGTTAGCCTTACATTTTTCATAAAAATTGGCTAAAATATGAATTTCTTTTTATGATATATCTGTCCCTAGATCGAGTTGGAATGCGTTCCAGGGTCCCTTAGGAGTCATTCAAAGAAGTTTGGAGCAATATCATTTTTTGACCAAAATTGACAAAAATTGTAAGGGGTTAGCCTTGCAGGAGACGGCAGCGGAAGGCACGTGCTGCTGCCGAAAGCTTCTGAAGAAATGCAGGGTCATCCGCGATGTCATTGCACACTACTCGATCATGTGTTGCGCAAACGGTCGAAGAGGTGCAGGCGCAGATCTGGGGGAGGGGGAATCCCCCACCTCCATGGGCGTCGCCAGGACTTTTTCTAGAGGGGGCCAAAAAAAATTCCCCAAAAATTCTTGTATTTCTCAACAAATTCTCGATTTATCAGTTAAAGAGGGTGGCAGGAACATTTTGCACCCCCCCCCCCAACTCAATACATTTACACCACTATGACTTCGCGCCTCATTTTCTCTCTTTTTTTTCATTCTTTTTTTTTTTAAGGCTTTTCCGAGGCGGGGGAGGGGGGGGGGGGGGCAAGCGTCCCCCTCCTTGCCCCCTTGCGATGCCCATGCGCAGTTCTGTCCAAAAAAGAAATCATAGAATACCGTGAAAAAAAATGCGAAACACCCCCCTCCCTCTTTCTGACACGCTTAAACTGTTTACTGGTAATATTGTCCACTTTGCACAAAAATACAGACATCGGCAGCTTTGTTAGGGAGTATACTCTGTGATATAGTGTTAAGAATCGTCGGATTTGAACAGCGCCCCCATAGAAAGTATGTTACATTGCACACCAACTCGATCATGTGTTGGGCAAAACGATCGAGGAGGTGGAGGCACGGATCCAGGGGGGTGTTTGGGGGTCAACCCCACCCCAAGCTTTATAAAAAAAAAAAAACCATAGAAACACATGCAAAGATTGCGACCCCACCCCTGCTCTGACACGCAAAAACTGTTTACTGGTAATAATGTCCGCTTTGCACAAACTATGGACGGGTATGTATATTCTGTGATATTGTGTTAATAATTGTCGTTCTGAACAGCGCCCCCATTAAAAGTATGGTACGAGCACCTCAAACCCCCCCTTCACCACCTTTTGATTTTCGGAGGCCAAGAGTCCGGAGAAAAAAAGTCTACATCTCAGATTTTTGTGCCGATGAAACCACCCCCCCCCCCCTCCCACCGCGAAAATTCCTGGATCCGCCCGTGGTGGTGTTTGGCATTGGGGCGGGGGGGGGGGATGTTCAGGTCCGTCAGAATATCGTCAGCCCCGTTAAATACATAAAAACCGCTGCAGAATAGCTTAACTTTTTGTGTCAGAGCAGGGGAGGGGTTCGACCCCCCCCCCCCCCCCGAAAAAAATCTCCTCTGGATTCGCGCCTGCTTGTAACTGACAGTAAAAAGCAAATCGGTAAAAGCCCCATGTAATGATTTTTTTTTTCCAATTCAATCCTCAATGTACATTCCTGTATTTGTTTTTCATTTTGTATTTCCAGTTGTAAGTGTGATAGGCTTTGTTTTCTTGCGTTTTCTACGAAAGCCCGTTAGTGCCAACATTTTTTTGTGTAATTGGTTTTGTTTTGTTTGCTTCTTTTTTGTTTTGTTTTGGGGGGATTGTTTGGTTTTTTTTTTTACCTACCTGCCGTCAGCGGCGCCCTTCCCCTGATGAGATGCCACCCCTACAGGTGACCCCACGTACTGCACGCACAGGCAGGGTGACTACAAGCAATAATTATAACAAAATCATATAAAAGACAAATTAACCCAACAAAAATAAAAAATAAAAAAAAATCCTTAAAAAAAACCCTTTCCCCCAAAAATCCCGCAAAAAAACAAAAACCCTCTAAACAAAATCAAAAAAACAAACAAACAGAAAAACCTAACCCAAAAAAATTTCCGAAAAAAAAAAAAAAAAAAAAAATCGAAAAGTTTCTAAAAATAGACTGCGCGGCCTTTATGAAACCATGGACCAAGAAACAGCACTTCCGCTATGGCCTGAAATCGTACTTGTACATTATGGACATGAAGTACGGCAATGCCCGCGTACCAAAACTTCGTTTCAAAAAAAAAAAAAAAAAAAAAAAAGTCCCCCCCAAAAAAATGTTGGCACTAACGGGCTTTCGTAGTTATCCCCTGTTTTGCGAATTACTGTATTTGTTGGGAACATTCACAATTAAAGAAACGTTATTTGAAAATTGTAAATAATGTTTATATATTACAATGTACAACTTTATTTTTCCCCGGTATAACATGGCGTTTCTTACAACAATTGGAAATTGCGCCATTAATAATGGTAGCCATATTGAACTAACCAAACTCCGTTTTAATTATAGTCAATTATGATTAATTGATTCATGACATAGCCCTCTATTTCGTTTTCAAAACTACCGTACATCTGCGGAGCAGATGTAAATATCAAACTAAACCAAAGTATAAAAGATAGAGGATTAAAAAAAATCAAAAAGTTATGTGCTAGTCAAGCTTTCAGGGATCGGTCTGAGCCATAACAATGCCCCAGCCAATCCCTTAGTTCTCTTCCGGGGTCTCGGCATCCCCGACCAATACACACTTCCTTCCCTGTCCATCCATATAACCCCGGAGGGCCAGGCACCATGTAAAAGCAAAGAGCTAAGGGAGGAACAGGGCGGCCCCTAAGCCCTGATCCTCCGAGTGGACCAAATGCCCTGAACCTGTACGAAGGCGCCAACCTGGAACTCGCGGACAGTACCAGCCGCAGTGCTTACCGGTTAAGCTAAGGTACAGTTGGTGTTTTACGACGGGAAATTAAACATCTTATATAATGACTGAACGAGTGCGATTAAAACCAAAAAGACACCGACGGGATTCGAACCCGTGCCCCGCGCGATGTGGACGGCGAATCTGACCACTAGGCCATTCGGCTTTCTTAGAGTTCTTCTCAAAAATAACAGGCAGAGAAACGTGGCACATTGGTGGGTCCATCTGTTTGGGCTCCATGGACGAAAAGAAGTTGACATTTCGGGCAATAATGAGCCCACTGTTTTCATTTCTTTGGAAAATTGTATACGGCAGCCTCGTTAGTCGTAGGCCTACATGTGCTAAACATACTTCTTATCGTTACGCAACAAAAAGACATCAGGTGTGCAGGGGCGGATCCAGGAATTTTGGCGGGGGGGGGGGGGGGGGGCTCAGGCCCGTTAGAGATATATGTTTATATTCGATTGTTTACGTGAAGCCACGTGAGGAATGTGTTCTGCGGATTTCATACATGAAACAGTCATCGAAGCAAACAAATACAAAATAGCCGTTGTGCGAAGTCAGTAGTACTCTGCGCTTGCGCCATGCGTGCAGCTCATGAAATAGTCGTCTGATTGTGAACATTCCACATTATAAAATTGGATGGGGAAAACACGTCGTTTGCTAGTGATTGTCGACTTTTCCCCTTAATATTAAGTCGCAAAAGAGCTACTTTTGGAACCAACAGATATGCAGTTGAAACATATGAAGAATCTGCTGCCACCACAGGTAAAAGTTTTGCTTTGAATTTCGTGAAAATTTGGGATTTTCTTTCGTCAAATTCTGGTAGTCAATGACGCCGGCCGCGGTTGTCAACACACTGTACACATGTACAGGCACACGGGGAAAATTCTTGGCCACAAGTTGAACATCAAAATATGGAGAATTTGCCTAGGCCTACTCTTACTTAGTCTTAATAACTTCAAGCCAATTTTTGATTTATTGAAATAGTTTCTAATTCAGTACTGTTGCTTTCTTCTGACATGTCTGACCTTTGTCGAATTAAATTTTAAAACTTTTCAACATTATTTTGAGATAATAAAACCTGTGTTTTTGATTTTAGCAAGCATTTAAATTGTACTCATTTTGTAGGCTACTGACTGTTTTTCATTCACTTCAAAAGTCTTCCTCACTCACAATCAGTGGAAAAAAATGCACAGAAAAATGACCCTTCTTTAAAAGGTGACCTTAAGCTGAAATTGAAGTTTCGTGTGAGTATGACTATGAATTATGAGAAAGAATTTTAGATAAACAAACCCACATGATCATGATGCTGAAAGCTAGCCGTATATTGGACCAGGATGTCGTAACGTGTTTTGTGTATCCAAAAATGCATTGTTAAAACCCTAACTCCCTAGGCCTTTTGCTAGGATGTAGCCTCAATCCTGCAAAATCCTCCAATTGGCCTCATGGAAAAATAGCATATAGCCTCAATCCTGCAAAGTCCTCCGTTGTTTCTTGAATATGGTCCGTGGAGGGGTGACCACTGCCTGAATCCTGCAGAATCCTCCGGCTATGACTGTCAATAGGCAGAGGCAGTGACATCCTGGAGCAGTGCGGAGGATGTCAAGTATAACCAAGGACTAAATTTATGCACGGCTGAGCATAAACAACACAAGGTCCGGCCTAAGACCTTGACACAGTGCGTACTCCGAAATCAGCAATGCACTTTGGCCATGTAACCTCAATCCTGCAAATTCCTCCAATTTGCAAAAAGGATTTTGGAGGATTCAGGGCGTTAAGGCGAGTTGGCACATGGATTTGATTTAGGCTTATTAAAATATTAAATTGATTGGGGAGGGGGGGGGGGCTACAGCTTTTAAAAATTTTACATTGCAAAATATAAAATGCAACAAATTGTATAACCTTCCAATCCATGGCAGTCGAAAAATTGCTATTGAGCTCTCACCACAGACAAATCCTGGGTTTGATACTTGGTACTTGGTACTTGGTTGGTTCTTAATTCTCCTAAATACTCCGCAGGGGAGTTTTAACAGGAGGCCAGAAACAAAAAAAAACCTTCTCTTACAGTCTTAGCGATAAGGGTTACTGGGTTCTTTTACGTGCATTGCATTACACAGCACACGGGACCTACGGCTTTACGTCCCATCCGAAGGACGAAGCAATAATGGTCAACTGCCTTGCTTAAGGGCACAAGTGTCCAGACCCGGGCTCGAACCCACATTCTGCTGCCTCTGAAACACCAGAGCATGAGTCTGGTGCACGGTGCTCTTAACCGCTAGGCCATGACACTCTGCCAACAACATGATGGGCCTAATTAAGCTACTTTTTCCTCCATGTTTCGTATTCAGGATGGTGCGGCAAAAATCACAGCCCTTGCCTGGGCGCCCAACAACACCAAGATGGCGGTGTGCACGGTGGACCGTGTGGTACTGCTGTACGATGAACACGGGGAGAGACGCGACAAGTTTTCCACCAAACCCATCGATTCTAAGGTAGGCTTTAAATCCTAGTCTAAACATTTCGCAGGACAGCATTTTCTGTACAGAGAATATAGAAACTTGATTGTAACTGTCTACTTTTTGACACACTTTTCCCGTGCAGTACTAAGATTCATTTCGGAAAATTCCCATATCTGGCCATCACTAATTTTAAAGTATTTACTGAGGAAACACTTAGAAATTTTCAGACCAGTCTCATGTGCACAAGGTGACAAGTGATGGCCAGATATGGGAATCTTTCCTTTATCTCTTGCACAAGTCTACTTTCTTGTTTTGTTCATGCATTTTTCAACCTTATATCTTGGAACTCTAATGTGTTTGCATCTCACCTGATTTCATATGTAAACTTGTTCTCATAAACTCTAGGGAAAACAGTAACACTGAGCATATAGGCTCTGTTTGCAAACAAGAGAGGGCGCTTTTTTACCACTTTCGTGAGCCCAGTGGACGAAACATCGCATGCGCATACTGGTTTGCGTGCATAATGCACAAAGTACGCACACCTCATTTTATTCTGAATGTGCATAAAGCCATAATGTCTTCGCATGAGCGTCGGGCGTCGTCAGCAATTCCTTCGAATGTCTCTCCCAGTGGTCTCCACCAACTCTCCCTTTCTTACCATTGAGGGGGTACTTGTGCACGGAGCCCATAGTTCTTACAATTCGTCGGGTGCACCACGACGTGACGGATCATCTACTGACTTTGTGCACACGATCGTCACCGAGGAATTAATAAGCATTGTTGAAGGTCAAAACCCTATTTCTGAAAGTTAACACCAGCAGTGTGCTGCATGTTAAATCTTTTTGGTTCTTTTATTTTTTTCAGTTTGGCAAGAAAAGCTACACTGTGAAGGCGCTTGCCTTCTCACCAGACTCAACAAAGATTGCCGTGGGGCAAACGGACAACATCATTTATGTCTACAAGATTGGAGACGATTGGTTAGTTCTTGAACACTTGTACTGATCAAATGGGATTTCAAATTCTTCAAGTCAGGACGAATCAATCACTAATTCAGTCACAAGTCGAGTCACAAGCTCTTTGAAAGTTAAACTGTGATGAATGCGTTATTTTTCAATGTTCATCCTCTGTTATTTGTTTATGTCTACAAGATTGGAGATGGTCTGTTAAACCAGTTCACGTCAGGCCGTGTTAAAGCTATAGTCCATCATTTGCAGCCATCCGAAAAGTAACTGGCGTAATTACTGTTGAAAAACAAACTTGGTTGAAAGATAGTAAGGGAACTAAACTCCCTGTGAAATTATTCTTTCTGGGAAGCTGTCATTTTGAAGTAATCAACGAAAGAAGGCATTTCCAACGGTGATTCTTAAGAAGCACCGTAGGAAAATTTAAATTAGTAGTTCGTTTTGTTATTCGGCGCAGCGCGCACAAGGTTTGGAACGACGCACACGCGCGCGCGGTTGTTGTAATTCGTCGGATCAGTGCGCGACGTCGCGTAGAGCTGCAATTCAAAACAATTCAAAACATGATTCAGTAACTTTTGATTTGAAATTGAGATCTTAGAATGCTGTTTTTCTCGGAATATACAGCTGAAGCTTAGCTGAAACTTCATCAGGTTAGTTGCTCAGTATCCTTCATTAGATTTTGAACTCTTTTGTTGCTTCAAACGAACAAAATGCACAAATTACAAATGATGGACTATAGCTTTAACATGCAATGGCTGTTTTTATACACAGGCATATGACTGACGGGTTAAAACGTCAAGTGTGCCCCGACTTTTGATTTGGACAAGTGTGATATCAAGTTCATTAAATCAGGAGGATGCAATCACTAATTCAGTCACTAGTCATCCAGTCTCAAGTCATGTCGCAAGCTTTGGAAAAATTAACTGTGACAAATGCATTCCTTTGTCATTGTTCATCGTCTGTTTATTGTGACCTGACATTAGTGATTGACTTGTGATTGACAGGAAATGCAACATTAATACTAAACTGCTTCAATAAAACAGGATTTTTGTTAGTGTGGGTACTCAGAAAAATATTTTATTGTTTCAGTTCCCTCATCTGTTCAAATTGAATTTCTTTGTTTTTTTCCTTCTCAGGGATTCCAAGAAGGTGATTTGCAACAAGTTTGTCCAGCAGAGTGCGGTGACCTGCATGATATGGCCTCCCGACGGTAACATCGTCTTTGGTCTGGCCGACGGCAAAGTGCGCATCGCAAACATCAAGAACAACAAATCCTCCACGGTCTATGGAACGGATTCCTACGTCGTCTCATTGGCGCCAAAGTATGTCACAAGTCTGTTTTCAGATTGGTACTCGCTTTACTTTCGACAAGAATATTTGTTCATCTGTAAAAAAACAAGGAGGAAACGAAAAGGAAAATGAACAATTTTATTTTGTTTTGGTGCCACATGATATATAAACTGAGCACACAGTATTGTGCGTGCTCATATGAATTTTATTTTCAGTCCAAATGTTAGAACTAATTTGTTGATTTGTCGGATTTTGATGTGGAAATCAGGCTTGGAATTTGTGATACGGTAAAGGTATTGGACCCATAGCCATTACTGGCCGTAGGGGCAGTGGGATGTTAGAGGTCCACTGTGTCTTGGGCGCGGCATATGAGTGGCGGGGCCCAGTCCTCTCCTCTCGCCGTCTTACCTTCCCTGAACGAATCAGGTACCCATTTCACTGTTGGGTCGTCAGAGAGAGTTTTCCAGTTTTTGGTCTGAATGGGATTCCAACCGCCAACTTCCACTCCGTAGCTCCACGCTCTAACCACTCGGCTACGAGGCCCCTCCATGGTTTTTCAATTGAATTTTGTAATCCCCCTGCCCCTTTTGAACCTAAATGTGTTTCATTCTCTTCTTTTCACAGATTTCTTGAGGCTTGCTAGCTTATAGTGCCTTAATCACATTTTTTAAAAGAAAAATGAATTACAGGTTGAAGGAAGATTGAAAACAATGTTGTCTCCTCTTTTTATTAGTATGTCCGGCAAAGGCATCCTCTCTGGTCACGCCGACGGATCCGTCGTCCGTTTCTTCTTCGAGGACGAAGGCACCGGTGAATCGCAGGGCAAGATCTGCACCCACCCCTGCCCGCCCTACGCCCTGTGCTGGGCGGGCAGCAGCATCGTCGCGGCCGGCTGCGACAAAAAGATCACCATCTACGGCAAAGAAGGGCGCATCAGCCAACAGTTTGATCACAGTCGCGACGCGGACGAGCACGAGTTCACCGTGGCTGTCAACAGTCCAAGTGGGCAGTCTGTAGTGGTTGGCAGCTATGACAGGTGAGATATATAATATGTTGACCGCACCATTGGTCAATATAATGTATATGATCAGGATTTTACTGTTATTGTAAATTGTCCAAGTGGGCAGTCAGTAGTGGTTGGCACTAATATGACAGGTGAGATATTGACCTCACCATTGGTCAATATAATGTATATGATCATGAGTTCACTGTGGCAGTGAATAGTCCAAGTGGGCAGTCAGTAATGGTTGGCACTAATATGACAGGTAAGATATTGACCGCACGATTGGTCAATATAATGTATATGATCAGGACTTTACTGTGGCAGTGAATAGTCCAAGTGGGCAGTCAGTAGTGGTTGGCACTAATATGACAGGTGAGATATTGACCACACCATTGGTCAATATAATGTATATGATCAGGACTTTACTGTGGCAGTGAATAGTCCAAGTAGGCAGTCTATAGTTGTTGGCAATTATGACAGGTGAGATATACTGTATATGACCACTCCAACAATCAATATATTATACTGACTAAATAATATTTAATTGGAGTAACGCTCCCCCTTTTTGGCGACAGTGTTATAAACACTTTTAGTCTTCTCCTATAGCCAGCCCTTCACTTTTTTTTTATTTTTTGGTCCTGTTTGCTTGATTTTTTTTGTTGTTGTCCTCTTCTTTGTTTTCCTGTGTATTTTTAGTTGTTTTCTTTACTACTTTTTTATCTGATTGTATTCACTTTGGATTTTATGTGTACATTTGCCCGAATTAAGTATTGCTATTACATTGACTGTTGGTGGTAACTGTTCTATTGCCATGATTATAGCCTGAATGGGCAGTAGGTAGTTTGTGACTGCTATGGTATGTGATATATTCTGTATATATTGACCTCGCCAACAGTCAATAGAATGAATATCTACCCACTCTTGGTGTGGCCTATGACTTGTTTGTCATGGTAGATATTTTGGCTTGCCTGAGGACACACAGCACATGGTAAACAGCTGGATTTGAACCCCTGACCATCTAATCGCTAGTCACATAAACTCATCAGACTTCACTCCCCAAAACGTTGTTTATTCTAACGAAATGAACATAATTTTTCTTATCCTTAGGTTGAGGGTATTTAACTGGGCTCCTCGTCGAGGCATGTGGGAAGAAGCCAAGATGAAGGAGATCAAGAACCTCTACACCATCACTGCACTGGCCTGGAAGAAGGATGGCTCTCGCCTCGTGGCAGTGAGTAAAGTCTCATCACAGGTTACTCCCCGGCTGCTGCTGGTACCCATTTATGCCCCTGGGTAGGGAGAGACAAATGGGGTGAAGTGGCTTGCCCAAGGACACAACATATGGCCAGCGGCTGGATTGGATCCCCTTACCCTCTGATTACGAGTCACAAAACCTAACCACCAGGCCACACTCCCCCAACTGACTAACTTTACTAAACAAAAATTGCAAGGAACAACATTGGAACCTGCAACCTTTTGAACACTGTACCAGCACTCTGCCAATTGCACTTCACAAACTAAACTGTCTCGACTATATTTGTTGTTTCCCAAAATTGTAAGAATTGGTCTTTCATTTTGTCAAAGCCAGACGTTAACTATTTTAATCAAAGATGGAATTTTGCGTCGGGGTGATGTAAATCAAGTGAAGGGCAAAACCTAATTTGATTTATTTTAATCAACCTCCTACATACGGTTTGGTAGTTCATTTTGTAAAAAGGTACTGCAGCATTCTAGAGGTTGTAGGTTCACATCCTGGAGCAGTCAATGTCCTTGTTTAATCAAATTTCAAATAGAAAGAGGGATTTTGCCATGTCCAAAGTAGAATTTAAGAGAAGACAACTGACTGAACGACCATTGTCTAAATGCAGGTTTAATGTTATATTTATTTCTAGGGCACCCTGTGTGGGGGAGTGGAGTTGTTTGACTGCTGCCTGCGTCGCGCCATCTACAAGAACAAGTTTGAGATGACATATGTGGGCTTGTCCCAGGTCATCGTCAAAAACCTGTCTTCTGGGACTCGCGTCGTGCTGAAGTCTCACTATGGATATGAGGTAAGCATCAAGCTTGTAAGTGCCTTGTGCGTACCTATTAACCTGAGCATAATGACTGAACGTTGTATTGTCCAATGAAATGATTTATTGATTTTCGCAAAGTTGGTTGATATCAGGTGAAAAGTAACCATGAATTTACCCCATGTGCAATCCATTTATACAATGTATGTTGACAGGATGTTGGACTGAATGATCCATTGATCGTTTTGACAGATTGTCATATTTCTGATCGAGGTTCAGATGAGGTTTGGCTCCGAATGAACCTCATAATTGGTGCGTTCGAGTAGCTCACCCGGATCAACTCGGGTAAAGGCAGACGGGTTAGCCACGACAGCCGTGCTAGTCAAAATCTCAACCGCGAGCCATCACGATCCTCACGTGATATCCGTAGCAACGACCATAGCCACTGACAAAACACCCGTTTCGGAGTGTGTCTAAGCTTGAGATTTATTTCTTTTCAGTCAATTGCAAAACTCAAAAAAGTTGGGCTGGAATTATAGCTTCTAAAGTTGCAATGAACTCAATAAATAATTACCTTAAGGCTTCAAATGAAGTTGATTTTTGGGTCCACTTGAGATTTCCGCTGTTCGGCCGCCATATTTTTGTCCGTTTATTGGAATGAACAACGCATGCGTGTGACGTATATCCACAACTGACTCTGCTCCGTGAGCAGGGTCTGTGGTGGCTGACAGAGCCCCGAGAAAGAGGTCAGAGCTAATCGCACCGCATGGGGCTAACCCGAGTCGATCCGGGAAAGCTACCCGAACGCACCCTTAAAGTCCAGTGAATTGTGACTGATTGCACTTTATGGTTAATTTGGTATTGGTTTGGTTTGGAAACTTCATTAGTAACGTCGTTTGTAGTTACTCAATATTGCTCTCATTGATTGAGTGGTTATTGGACCAATTGTTTCACAGGTGGACGAGGTTCGTATTCTCGGCAAAGATCGCTACCTGGTGGCGCACACAACAGACACCTTGCTGCTGGGCGACCTGTCCAATAACAAACTCAGCGAGGTGCCCTGGCAGAACACGGGCGGCAACGAGAAATTCTTCTTTGAGAATGAATCGGTGAGATGCTGTCACTGGAGAATTCTTTCTGTGTAAATTTAGTAATTGAATATGGGAATTATTTTAAGGGGGAATTTTTAAAAAATTTAAAATTTTTCTGTTCTCACTGGATACTGAATGTAATGAGTTGAACTCTTCAGGGAATTCAATTCTGGCCTCTAGGCACCTCGTGTGAACTTTTGAGGAAATTTGGTGAAGTTGGATTCTTGGGTCAAAAACTGACTTTTTTGATGATGCCGGCTGTGCATGGAAATCGTTGAAGTTTTGGGGGCATTTTGTAAAAAATCAAAAAGTTTCCTTTTCTCACTGGATACTGAATTTGATGAGTTGAACTCTTCAACGAATTCAATTCTGGCCTCTAGGCACCTCGTGTGAACTTTTGAGGAAATTTGGTGAAGTTGGATTTTTGGGTCAAAAACTGACTTTTTCGATGATGCCGGCTATGGAAAACGTTGAAGTTTTGGGGGCATTTTGTAAAAAATCTCAAATGAAAATGTTTTTGGCCCATATTTTAATTTTTTTTTTAAATTGATTTCCACTGTGATCTAGAAATCCCCACACCCTGACACTGAGTCTTGTTGTTGGGTCTTCACAAGTCAGTCAGAAATCATTTACTCTCAAGTTGCGAACTATTCAAAAAAAAACTGAGACAACGGCATTCCTTTTGTATTACTTTTCATGCCCTGTTACTTGTGATTCGACTGTTGATTCGAATTGTGATTTGACTTGTGATAGACTTGTGATTTCCCTTATGAAGAAATTTGCAGCTCTACCACACTCACCTAAAACTGAATAAACTCCTTCATCAATTCTTGAATTTTTGTTTTGGTGTTAGGTGTGTATGATATTCAACGCCGGGGAGTTGAGTCTTGTCGAGTATGGGAGCAACGAGATCCTTGGTTGCGTGCGCACCGAGTTCATGAATCCTCATCTGATCAGGTAGAACACGTCTCACGTCGAGTAGTCAGATACGAGTAGTCCTGAGTAGTGTTAAATGTTCACAGTTGAGCACTTTGTATCCTCTGCGTCCCCTTTGCCTTAAGAGGCCCAGTTTCATGAAAAGGCTAATTTGTTAAGAAGAAATTTGTTCAGCAGAGAAAAGGTTTGCTTTTTTTAATAGAAGTCAGTCAGATACTAGTATTCCTGTGTAGGCGTCATCAGCAATTCCTTCGCATGTCTCTGCCAGTGGTCTCCCCAAACTCTTCCTTTCTTACCATTGAGGGGGTACTTGTGCACGGATCCCATTGGTTCAGCAGTTGAATTTCTCTAAGTAACATTTTTCTGCTTAGCAGATACTACAAAAACCACATTGAAATTGTTATCGTCAATACTTCTTTTTCTTTTCTCTGTGATAGCGTCCGTCTGAACGAACGCAAACAGCTCGGCGTCGAAGACAACAAGAAGATGGCCTACCTCGTCGATTTGAAGACCATCGCTATCGTGGATCTGCTCATGGGTTTCAACGTGGCCACCTTGCAGCACGACTCCAAGATCGACTGGCTGGAACTGAACGAAACCGGCAGGAAACTGCTGTTCCGTGACAAGCGACTCAGGGTAAGTTATCCCGAAACAAGTAAGAGTGAGCTTCAATTTACAGTCGGCAACTGTCGGCAGACTGTCTAAAGCCTGTCTGCCTACCAGTGGTTGAGGTACATTTCTCGTAGTGCTCGCAACCGAGTTTGACTGCAAGCTACAATGAACAACTGACCAAAAGTCATGATCCAGTTGGTCATTGCGTGCTGTGTGTTTGACAAGCACTGGTCCTTTTTAAGTCCCAACAATACTTAAGGGCAAAGAAACCAGTCTATTTGCCTCCCGTGGTATAAGAAGATTATATAAGTCATGAGTTTAACAACGTGCGTTAAACAGCGTTTTGTTAATTGGGGCGTCATTGCCGACTAAGCGTCCCCTCTTGTTCACCTACAAGTAAATTCTTTACATTTGTGTGTTCCTTCATTTTGGTTAATTTGTTTTTTATGCATATTCCACTTAACAAGGCTAAAAGACACTCAAGGTACAGGGGTACAAGAGAAATAAAACGAAGATTAGGTACTCAGGAAAACTGAAGGTAAGAATTAACATTCCTCTTGAAACAGGACAGATCATAGGTTGGAGGGAAACAAGCATGCCAGGCGAGGGATTCCTAAAAGATGCGGCACGTGGGCAAAAGCCATTGGAATATCCTATTGTTCTACATCTAGGTTTAACAACAGTACATGGATGAGAACAGACAGAACTCTTGAAACTCTTGACACTCTTGTTTTTTTTTTGTCTTTGCAGCTGCATCTCTTTGACATCGACACCCAAACCAAGACCACCATTCTCAACTATTCCAGCTACGTCCAGTGGGTGCCACAAAGCGACGTGGTCGTTGCCCAGAATCGCGGCAGTCTGTGCGTGTGGTACAACATTGACCACCCGGAACGGTGCACCATGTTCAACATCAAGGTATGGGGCTTGAATATTTAGGGGAGGGGATGATCTAGAGTAAAGGCAGTTTTCTAAAAGCTAAATGTTTTTTTTCACACCATTTTTTAAAGGCCTTTTTGTAATCAAAGATACTCACTCACGTCAGTTCTGTCCTGTCCATATCTGCATCTATGAAAAAGTCTTTGTTATATGGGTGACGTGATTTCAGAAGAACTTGAGAAAAAATGTGCCACTGACTTACTCGGAAATACTGCTCATTTGGATAAATATTTGACAGTCCACGTGAAAAAAAAAAAATAGAAAGGAATAAGACCTAAATTCTTATCCAATTTTAGTCTTAATGTGTCATTACCCCCAATCAAGATGGAGATGTTGAGCAAGAAAAAATGCTTTATAAATTTTCTCGAGGGGAAAAATCAGTAAGCAACAACAGTACATCTCATGACATTTTAGCCTGTAACCTGTCATTGCAATAAGCATAACTTTGCTCTGCTGTGCAAAATGAGTTCGTTTCTGCATTCAATAGGGGACGTTGAACAATAGAGGACAATAGGGTCCCCAATTCCCGAAGGTCCTCAATTTGGCGATTTGTATAAAACATATATGAGGTCTTCTTAAAAGAGTACAAACAAAAGAGGGACACTAGGGGGTCCCCGATAGCAGGCAAATACACACTTGTATGTCTGTGCTCTTCCATAAAATTGGCCCTGGAGTAACATTTGAATGCTTTTTTGAGGGTTAAGCTTAAAGCTATAGTCCATCATTTGTAATTTGTGCATTTTGTTCGTTTGAAGCAACAAAAGGGTTCAAAATCTAATGAAGGATACTGAACAACTAACCTGATGAAGTTTCAGCTAAGCTTCAGCTGTACATTCCGAGAAAAACAGCATTCTAAGATCTCAATTTCAAATCAAAAGTTACTGAATCATGTTTTGAATTGTTTTGAATTGCAGCTATACGCGACGTAGCGCACTGATCCGACGAATTATAACAACCGCGCGCGCGTGTGCGTCGTTCCAATACTTGTGCGCGCTGCACTGAATAACAAAACGAACTACTAATTTAAATTTTCCTACGGTGCTTCTTAAGAATCACCGTTGGAAATGCCTTCTTTCGTTGATTACTTCAAAATGACAGCTTGCCAGAAAGAATAATTTCACTGGGAGTTTAGTCCCCTTACTATCTTTCAACCAAGTATGTTTTTCAACAATAATAACGCCAGTTACTTTTCGGATGGCTGCAAATGATGGACTATAGCTTTAAGATCAGAGGAAAAACCTGACTTCAGCCTCCATCTATCACCCACAGGGAGACATTGTAGACCTTGAGAGGGCCAACGGCAAGACTGATGTCATCGTGAACGAAGGAGTGGCAACAATCTCTTACACTCTGGACGAAGGACTGATTGAGTTTGGCACAGCGATCGATGATGGCGACTTCACAAGGTGCATTGCAAGAAAACACTGCAAGACTCAGGGCTGAACATTTAAAAAACTTTGTTGACTTTGGTATTTGTTTGTACTCAGTGAGTTTTTTATAAAGCACTGTTGTAAATAACTGCATTTGTTTGTCTATTTTTATTACGATTCAACCATATCTACGAGTGCGAGCCAAACGTGCTTCTCTCATTGGCATTTCTTTTTAACATGTTAGGTACATAGGCCAAAAAAATTAAGTCTTCAGTTTCTGGTTTGGAGCTTGCCCCAAAAGTGGTGCGGCGACGTGTTTTTTTTTTCCCCTACTTTTTTTGTACAACACCATCTGCAAATAGTGCCCGACTATTCTGTGCAAAATATATGGAAGCCCAGAAAGGCCGCATAAAGCTTATACTCGATCGTAACCCTATCTAAAAACACGTTAAAATTGTGCAGCAGCAGGATTCCAGTCAAACCAGTGAGTTTGGCAGTTTTGAGACATCATCTTACATTGGCAATTTTTTTTAAAATTTTGCCGACGCGCATGGCTACGGCGACGCGCGCATACCAGAAACCGGAGGCCTTTTTTTTTGGGCCTAAGAAATGTTATCCCAGATGCACTTTGCATGTACTACCTCAAAAGCAGTCAGATTAGTACTGGGAAATAGTACCCCAAGTTTAGCTCCTAGACTCCTAACCATGCAATACTAGCATTCGCACAATCAGAATGAGGGTGGTACCATACACCTTAACAACAGACAATTTGCAATGTTAAATGTCAACTTTTTTCACTTGAAAATAAAATTTTGGCTGATTTTGACTACGTCCATCCACTTCCTGCCGGAAGGTAGTCAAACCAACCAACGGCTCAGAACCATTAATGTTGCACTATTTCTTCCTCAAAACCATCTTAGGCGGCTTCTTCCCATAGCCCCCGTGTGTTCTTTCCAGCCGTAGCTGAGTGATTCGGGCCCAGCCTCATATTTTTCTGTTTCTCTTTCCAGGGCTGTGGCTTTCCTGGAGACTCTGGAGATGACTAACGAGACGGAGGCCATGTGGAAGACGCTGAGCCGTCTCTCCCTTGAGGCTAAGCAGCTGCACATAGCCGAGCGCTGCTACGCTGCCCTCGGGGACGTGGCTAAGGCTAGGTACCTGCGCAACGTCAACAAGATGGCCGCGGAACTTGCCCAGGAAATCGTAAGTTGAAAAAATGCATCAGTTCTTATCTGTTTTCTGGTGGTGTGCTCTACGTCTCTTTACATAACAAGACCTTCGTGTTATTAAAGGGAATATACATGTATATACAACATTTGCTTTTGCTGTAAATTTCATAAATTGATGGATTTGGGGGTTATTATTTTATAGCAAATATTGTTAAAATGACTTGTTTGATGTTTTGGGCTCGTAAATGCTGGAAAAACCAAGAAAAACAATCATGTTCTTGTACTCTCGGTTCCCTGACCCCACACAACTTGAAACAGAGTAATTTATAGACGTTGGGGAATAGTAAGGTCAGGGAATCACTCTAGCTGGCTTGTACTCGTTCACAGGTGTGTAATCGATTGCAAAGAAAATACAAACTAATGATAAATTGGGAGCAGTGTTTTGAAAAAAGTCAGTTTTTTCCAACGTTGGTCTGCCGACCATGCATTGGAAATCGATACAAAAATACCACTTTTCTTGAAAATGACAGCACACCAGGTGCCATGATATTACAGGATGCTTGAGACTGTCATTCACTAACAGTGCAGTAAAGTATTTCAGTATAGTTTGATAGTTTTGTTTTTTGATGTTAGCAAATGTTGTATATTCCCTTTAATCTCCCTTGCGGAGAATTTAGGAGGATTTTCCACCAAGTACCAAGTACCGTGGAGATCATATCAGAGGTTTTCAAGCACTCGGTTGCAACTGGGGCGCGGAGCGCTAATTTCAGGCATGTGGGGCGGAGCGCAGGGTCTTGCGACTATCACCGTGTAAAAACTGAGCAGTGTTTAACCCTTTAGCACAAGTATTAAATTGTATAACATAGTACTCCTCCATGAATCAGTAGAACCATAGAGTGCTGGGACCGTTTGGGGCAGTATGAAGAGTAACAGACAGGGCGGTTAGGGCGGTACAATGCCCTAAACGGTGGTTCAAAACCACCCCTGTGACAGGCTCTCACACACTGATTATGACATCATGAAAATTCTGTCTGTATTTCTTCTAACCGTAATTTGCCATTTTTTTCCATTCAAACCAGGGCGGAGATGGGACCCAGCACTACACTGTCCGAGCCAAGTTGGCCATCTTGAGCAAAGACTTCAAGGAGGCGGAGTCCGTATTCCTGGAGCAGGTAAGGAGGAATCAGACTTGACTTAATTGACTATGGCCGGCGATAACACACGTGGAGTCTGAGAACAGCCAGTGCATTATCATCTTTATGACATGTGACACAGGGTCGTAGGTCAATTCATTTAAATACCTCCATGCCCAAAAATAGACACTGCGTTTAGCATCACTCAATTAGAAGCTTACTGAGGTGGTACCATACGTGCCAGCATTCCTAAATTTGAGGCATCGGTGTATTTTTACAAGTTTTAATGACACTTCTAGTTACAGGAAAATCTAATGCACACTTATGATTATCGGCCCAATTTCATAGAGCTGCTTAAGCACAAAATTTGCTTAAGCACGAAAAAACATTGCTTAGTAAAATTAGGTTACCGGCCAAAACTCCCTGCGATGTACATTGCTTGTGACTGGTATTTAGCGGTTGTTTACTTAGCATAACAATTGCATGGAGTTTTGGCCGGTAACCTGATTTTATTAAGCAAGACGTTTTTGTGCTTAAGCAAATTTTGTGCTTATAAGCAGCTCTATGAAATTGGCCCCTGGTCCCAATTTCAAGGCTCTGCTTACCGTTAGTAGAAAATCTGCTTACTGTAGTAGAAAATGGTAAGCGTATTTCACGGGTTAGCGAGGAATTTTGGCTTCTGTGCATGCGTACATTCCTAAGGATTCTGTGCTTACAGGGTTAGCACAAAATTGTTCTGCTTACAGTTAGCACAGAATGGTAATTGTAAGCAAGGGACTTTGCGGTGAGCAATGCCATAAAATTGGGCCATGATTAGTTCACTGGCTGACAGTTTTATTGAGTTATTAAAGATAGTAATTGTTGTCTTTCATTTATTTTTCAGAATGCCATTGACGAAGCCATGGAGATGTACCAGGAACTCCACAAGTGGGACGAGGCCATCGCTGTTGCCGAAGCCAAGGTATGGCCAGCCTCATCTGTCAAATCTTAGAACATTCCTTTATGATTGAAATTATATTTGTATGTGTCTTCAGTTCTAGCGCTCCACCCTATCCAACAGTGTTGTTGACGGCTTTCAAAATATATTGTGGAGGAAACCCATGGCATTATGGGTAGCTTTTTGCCATGATCCATTTGTGTATATTTTGTGCTGGATGCATTGACCTAGGTTAAACATAAATATCTCTCAAGAATTTCTGGTAAAGTTCAAAAAAAAATTGGCTACTATCAGTACCATGAGATATGGTTTGGTTAGTACAAGAGAATTTCAGGTCTTAGCAAGATTTGACCTGTCGACCTTTGAACTCCAGGGTCATCCTGAGCTGGAGAGCCTCCGTCGCAACTACTACCAGTGGCTGATGGACACCAGCCAAGAAGAGAAGGCAGGAGAGATGAAGGAAAACGAAGGGGACCATCACGCGGCCATTAACCTGTACATGAAGGCCGGTATGCCCGCCAGGGCCGCCCGGCTCGCGACGAGCCGGGGAGATCTGATGGAGAACAGGGAGTTGATTCAGCGAATCGCCGCCGCGCTCATCAAGGGAGAATTCTACGAACGGGTGAGTTGGGGACTGGTCACAAACTGTGGGGATTTATGGAAATTGATTGATTCAGGCAGTTGCTAGAAATGTAATCAAAAGAGAATTTAATGTACGGTTCAATTAGTTGATTGGGTTCAGTCTGTAGGGATTTGATAGAAATTAATGGATTCAGGCAGTTGCTAGAGAAGTTTCAAAAGAGAATTCCTATATATACAGTGGAATGAATTAACTGAGTACAGTCTGTAGGGATTCGATGGAGATTAAGTGATTCAAGCAGTTGCTGAATTCTAGGTATGGTTGGTTGTGTTGAGTGGCTACAGTCTTTGGGGATTTGTCGGAAAACAAATTATTGATTCAGGACTCATCAAAATAAATCCATGAGTGGTAAAATTGGCTTGGCTGTGGGGATCTGTTGGAATAGGGACTCGATTCAGGGACAGGCAGTGGAAGTAAATAATGGAGAATTATGTTAACAGCTGATTGGTTGAATAGATGCAAGTTGTGGGAATTTGATGGGCAATTAATAATTGGCTTAACACTAGAGAATGAATTCTAGAAGCTGTGGGGATCTGTTGGAATAGGGACTTGATACAGAAAAGCGCTGAAGCATTGGCTGAAGGAAAATGGCAAGAGCAGACAAGTAATTGATTGGGGAATTGATGGAAAATTTTGATAGAGATTTGATTTAAGAATTTCTGTGAGAATCTTCAAAGACAGTATGACAATTTTTTGTGTTTAAGGAGATCAGCATGACATTTCATTGGAGTAAACATTGTTTTTTCCTCATTGTATTTGGGGTTTTTTTGGTGGTTTTTCTGGATAGGCTGGGGACTTGTTTGAGAAGACCAGAGATGAACAGCGAGCCCTGGAGTGCTACCGACGAGGAAATTCCTTCCGACGAGGTATTGTTTGAATCTGAAGATGTTTTCGTTTTCTTCAATATCTTCTGATAGAATTATATTATGATTTTTGTGTCTGGTAGAGGAACATAGCATTCCTAAAAAAAAAAATGGCACATGGCACAGGCACTGTAGCGTGCAAGCCGGAGACAATCTATAGAGGGACGACAACAAAGACATAATTTTAGAGGTGGAAGGAAAACCCCAGATAAATATTCTCGGGAAACCAGTAGGGACTGAAAAACAGCCAGTCCACATGTTGGCCAGGGTACGATTATAAATTCAGATCGCATGGGTGAATACTATAAGTATTTCAGAAAATAAATTTTTATCTTGCGTCTTTTTAAAAAAATTTATTTAGCTGTGGAGCTGGCCCGAGGATCCTACCCGACTGAAGTGGTTCGTCTGGAGGAGGAATGGGGAGATTATCTGGTGTCTCAGAAACAGATGGATGCGGCTATCAACCACTACATCGAGGCTGGGTAAGATATGTTACGATATTGATTACTGGATGTCTACTTCATACTCATGGCATTATCAAAGTAGCCGTACAACAATAGAGTGCTGGGGTTGTATAAGTAGTAACAGGCAGGGTACTTTAGGCCGGTACAGGGACAAATGGGTTCATACAAATGACAATGAGACTCAACTGCCGGAAAATGTCAGCTAGTATAATTCCTCACTTTCAATATCTATTCATAATTTCTTTTCTTTTTTCCCCTTCATGTTTTTTTTTCCAGTTGTTCCCAAAAGGCCATTGAGTCGGCTATCAATTCCCACCAGTGGAGTAAAGCAATCCAGATCATTGAGATCCAGGATCCGTCCGTCGGTGAGAAGTACTACCCTAAGATTGCCAAGCACTATGCCACCGTCAGAAACTTTGAGGTAAAGAATTTTATGCAATTCATAATGCAAGCGTTTCACTTGAAGATACTTTTTAATTTTTTCGTATATTTTCCTGTTAAAGTATTGATTTTGTTTAAGCTGTGCTTAGCTGTATACATGCAGTACCACACGGACACAATGCATCAAAAAAGTATCAACGGTAACAATTCTAAAGCACGAATGTCAAGATTCAAGATTCAAGATTTGTTTTATTAGTCACGTAAAAAATTACATGAGATATGATCTCCTATGTGCAATCAGTAAAAAGTTACATATAGTATCCATAAAAATATATATTTAAAACAGTAAAACATGAGAGATCTAAAAAAAAAAATTGAATTGAAATAAAGTAAAAACTTTTGAACCCTTGTGGCGTTTTGAGCCATAGTGAAAAAACGAAGTTTGTTCGAGTGATGTCCGACAGATATTAACAAACTCCCATGGCGCACTGCAAGTAAAATGTAAAATTTTCAATACAAAAACAAATGTTTGTAGAAAATGTGAATAACCATAATTTTCTACAAAGTCTTGTGGAGTGGTTTAGATTTAAAAATTGCGTTTTGATTTTCACCAGAACTTTCATAAAAACTGTAAACTCAGTGCCATCCGGGAGCTTGTGACAAAAATGTTTGCTCAGGTAGGATTCGAACCTACAAAGGAGAAAAGTTGGAATAGTAAAGACCTTTGATGACATTAATGCAACGTTTGTTTACAGCAGATTGTGTGAGTGCTCATTTTGCTTTTGTTTTATTAGATGGCTGAGCGATATTTTGTGCAGGCTGGAATGACCAAAGAAGCCATTGACATGTACACGGCTGCAGGGAAATGGGAGGCCGCACACAAGGTAAGCCACAATCTAATAGAAAGTCATGCATTTTCTGAATCCTAACATACTACACTATACTTAGCATTCGTGGGGTCTGAGTGGGAAATACTGGCTTAATGGAAGATCAAGGAATTGAAGTTTCTCCTTTTTGTCTATGGACTACAGCTCGCCGTTACCTGTATGAAAGGGGAAGAGGTCGCGGTGCTGTACGTCACCCAGGCCCAGCAGTTAGAGAGCCAAGGCAAATTCAGAGAGGCAGAGAGGTAAGATTTGTATAGTGAATAACCCCCCACCCCACCCCACCCCCACTGCATCCCACCCCCACTCCTACCAACCCCATCCCCAACCCCACCCCACCCTCACCCCTACCAACCCCCACCCCTACCAACCCCATCCCCACCCACCTCAACCCACCCCATCCCCTACCCCCACCCCATCCCCCAGCCCACCTCCCTCACCCACCCCAAACCAACTCCACCCCATCCCCACGCACCCTATCCCTCACCCCACCCAAGCATCCTATCCCCCACACCACCCCCACCTTCTGCCATTACTATTTAAATAAAGGTCTCAAACCATGAGACTTGTAATTGAATGTTTTGAGTCATTTAAGCTCTTGTACTTGCGACTGACTTGTGATTTCACTGGTGATTGTCTTGTGATTGATTTATGATCGACTTCAGATTATCTTGTGATGGACTTTTGGTTAATCTGTGGTTGAGTTGTGATTTGACTTGTGACGCCTTTTGTTTGACTTGTGATGGACTTGTGACTGACTTGTGTTTGACTTGTAATTGGCTTGTGATTGTCTTTTGATTGACTTTTATGGACTTGTGAGGTACTTGTGATCAATATGTGGTTGACTTGTGATGCCTTGTGAGGTACTTGTGATGCCTTGTGATTGACTTGTGATCCACTTGTGATTCAGTTCTTATTGACTTGTGATTGCTTGTGCTTGTGATTCACCTGATCACAACTCTGTCCCTTACAGGTTGTACCTGACAGTGGATGAGCCCGATCTAGCCATCACCATGTACAAGAAGCAGCGCCAGTACGATCACATGATCCGCCTAGTCAAGCAGCACCACCCGGATCTACTGCAAGACACCCACCTACATCTGGCTAAGGTCGGAGGAAATTTCAAAAAAATTGAAATTATTGACAGAAACGAGTATGATTAACTTGCCTTGCAGAAAACAAATCGATATAGAAAGACTCTCATTCAATTTTAACACTCATTACATTGAATTGTGTGCAGTACATAGGGAGGTGGGGGTGTGGTCTAGTGGTCGGCGTTCGTGACTCATAATCAGAGGGTCAGGGGTTTGAATCCAGCTGCTGGCCATATGTCATGTCCTTTGGCAAGCCAATTCACCCCAACTTGACTCTCTCCACCCAGGAGTATAAATGGGTACCGGCATTAGCTGGGGAGTAACCTGCGATGGACTGGCATCCCATCCAGGAGAAATTGAAATATTCACAGTTGTTTTATGCCACTGAAATAGGAGATAAACGTCGGCCAGAAGGGCCACATTGGCTCGAGACAGACTCTACTTACATATAGTGAGGTCCCTTGTTCCAACTGAAGTGAATATTTGAATGTACTCTCAGTGTGTCTTTATTCTCACTATCTGACTATGTCTCATTTGCATTTGGTTGATTGTTGACTTGCAGGAGTTGGAGGGAGAGCAGGCCTTCCGACAAGCCGAGCATCACTACATTGAAGCGCGGGACTGGAAAGCTGCCATCAATATGTACAGAACTCAAGATTTGTGGGACGAGGCGTACAGGGTAGGTAGTGGGATTGGGATTATGTGGGATTAGGAGCAGCTTAAGATTGGATTAGGATTATGTAGGAGCATTCAGGTTCATTGGCAGTGTTTAGTCTAGATACTTGTGGCGGATCGCAAGCCATCATAAGTCCATTACAAGTCCATCACAAGTCCATCACAAGCCTGTCACAAGTCCGTCACAAGTCCGTCACAAGTCCGTCACAAGTCCGTCACAAGTCCGTCACAAGTCCGTCACAAGTCCATCACAAGTCCGTAACAAGTCCATCACAAGTCCATCACAAGTCCATCACAAGTCCGTAACAAGTCCATCACAAGTCCATCACAAGTCCATCACAAGTCCATCACAAGTCCGTAACAAGTCCGTAACAAGTCCATTACAAGTCCATTACAAGTCCATCACAAGTCCATCACAAGTCCATCACAAGTCATCCAGTCCCAAGTCAACTCAACAAGCTATTCAAATGAACTGTGACCAAGGCACCTGTTTGTCACTGTTCTTTTCCTGTTAGTGGCGACTGGACTTTTGAATTGACTTGTGACTTCCTTGTGATAGACATGATCCATCAAAAGTATTTCAACTGCATCAACGTAGGGATTATTTTGAAATATAAACCAAAGCAAACTCTAGGCAGTATTCATCCAGTTCCTTCCGACCCACTGGCTCATTCTGGAACTCCTGATCTATTTCCTGTTTTCCCGTTGATTGTAATCTGTCCCAGTCCAAGCACAACGTCAACACCTATATATTTTTTATTTGAAGTAGTTTTTCTTTGTGTGGCTGCCTCGGGGCTCACTTGTGCCCAGAGGAGTTTCGGACTACTAGTTCTCAAACTTATGAGAAAAGGACTCCCAAGTGACTGGTATTCGCAATCAATCCAGGAACCACACACAAAACACAATGAAGCCACTTGACAACATGGTGGTGATTGCTGATAGTAGATTGAGTAGATTGAGATAACAATCTGCAATTTAATAAAGCAGAACAAACACTAATAAGAAAACTATAATAAAAGTACATGGAAAAGTCTAATCTATTAAACATGGCAAGTTGAGTCCAAAAATGTGAAGTCTGATTTGTCAAGGCTAAACACTATTTGCAGTTCAATCTGTTTTTGCTGAATGAATAATCAACTGTAAAATCTCAGAAAATCCACTGAATTCTGTCTCTAAACTTATTAAAAGTAACTCATAAAATCAAGGAAAATGCTTCTTACCAAAATGGGGTCTTTCAAGGTCCACAAAGAGTGAATAAAGTGATGAAACTTGAAGAACTAAATCGCAATGAGTATGAAAACACTTGTCTCTGAAATCACATGGTCAGTAAATATGGCTGCCCATTGTTTATGTGGCAAGATTATGTGGTACTTGTACCCACACAAGGTCTCTGTATGCACATGGGAAGTGCACAAGGTCACTCTGGTGGTGGGAAGGAGGCTACTTAATGCAACACATAAGTAGGCTCTTTCACTTTTATGAGGTGAAAGTTAACTGTAGGCTCTTTCACTAAATATGAAGTAATACTCTAAAAATGGAATTCTAAATTTAAACTATGAAAAACTTGTTAAGAAAATTAATAAACTTAAGACAAACTCACTGCACAGCTGCTGCAGTGACATGGCTCCTCTAACTGCATCTCGCAGTTAACAAACTAAAATCAAACCTGAACTTCAAAGATTAATGTCCATGAAAATGTTCCTTCATCTTGGTGGACGTCTTGTCTCGCACGCACTGCTCCTCAGATGCGGACTAGTGTTGGCTCGTTAAATTGGTATCTACCTACTAATGAGTAACAAGAACAGTTAAAATGTAAAGTTCATAAACTAAATAGATTGTCGTCAGCAGTGGGTCTCTTCTGGCAGGATCTTCAGTTTGGCTCTTCGGTGGGGACTTCTCTGGTCTCTTGAGCTTCAGGCTTCTCTGCGGGTACCAACAGGACAAGCTTGTGTACTGGTCTGTCAAGGAGTGATGGAGAGTGTTGCCGTCTGCCAAGGTTGTCTCGTGTGCCATCGGCCATCAAGAGCTTCACTGACCTGACTCTTCCGTCATTGCTCGGGTAGGTCTCCACTACGCGTCCCAATGGCCACTGGTTCCTGGTCTGCTCACCTTCCTTGGAGATCACGACATCACCTACTTGTAGATCTCTTACTGGATTGACCCACTTTTTGCGCTCTTGAAGATGGTGCAGGAACTCTTTTCTCCATCTCACCCAAAACTCATTGGTCAAGAACTGGACACGTCTCCACCATTTGCGGGCATAGACATCTTCCTTCTGGAACTTTCCAGGCGGAGGCAGAACAACCTTGGGTTTCATGGTGAACAGATGATTGGGTGTCAATGGCTCTGGTGCGTCTGATGAGCAGAGATAGTCTGTCGTTAGAGGTCGTGAATTGATGATGCCTTCTACCTCAGTCATGAAGGTCCTGAAACATTCATCATCCAGTTGTGTCGTGGTTTTAAGAAGAAGACCCTCTAGTGCACGGCGTACTGTACCTATCTGTCTCTCCCACACGCCTCCCATGTGACTGGCATGCGGTGTGTTCAGCTTGAAGGGAATCCAGTCACAGTTGCTCTCTAACAGGTACTGGTGGACTCTGTCCTGCTCCATCTCAGCTAGCGCTTCTCTCAGCTCACTCCGAGCACCGATGAATGTTGTACCTTGGTCTGAACGCAGTTGACGTACAGGTCCTCTCCTGCTCTGGAATCTTGTAAGGGCATTGATGAAAGAACTTGCCGTTAAGGAATTTGCTGTCTCTAGATGAACACCTCTAGACGCCATACATGTGAACAGGACACCATAACGTTTCACTTGACTCCTACGCTCTTTCACCAAAAATGGACCGAAGTAGTCCACAGCGCAATAGGAAAATGGGGGCGCTGGCTCTAGTCGATCTACGGGTAGGTCAGACATCTTCTGTCGCTGCAGCGATCCACGCAGTTTGCGGCAGGTCACACATCTTGAGATGTAGTTGGACACAGCTGATGAACCACCAATTACCCAGTACCCTCTCTGACGTAGCTCGTTGTGTGTCATTCCTCTGCCCATGTGATTTACCTTCTCATGAATATGGCGAATCAACAACTGGGTGACATGACCTTTGTAAGGGAGAACGGCTGGATGCTTAGCTTCAATTGGAAGATCAGATCTGGCAATACGGCCACCCACTCGGATGATGCCATCGACATCTAGAAAGGGATCTAGCCGGTACAGACAACTCGTCTTCTTCAGGTAGTCATTTCTCACTCTTGCAGTCTTTCCATCGGTGACTTGCCCGATTACACCAAGTTCTTGTAGGGCCTGTAACTCGACACTGAAATGTTCATGCTGAACATTTTTGATGATTTCCATCTCTCCATTCTGTAGTTCTGCCACAGTGATTGCTTGCTTTGCAGGAGTGGAACAAACTTTCCCTTCACAAGGTTTTTTCACTACTCTGTTCCTCAACTTTGTCTTCAACCTCAGACAAAGAGCGACTGCCCTGCAAGCTCTATTCCAGGATGAAAAGCAATCAAGTCGGCTCACTTCGAAGTGATGATGTCGTGCGTTGTTCTCAGCTGTTGTCACGAAAGCTGAGACTTTTTTCACATCTGGGTCTGATTCACTCAGTGGTGCAACTACGGCTGGCTGGGGTTGAAAGGGGCCATCCTTCTGCAAGAAATCTGGACCGGATAACCAGCAGGACTTCTCTACAAGTTCCTTTGCTGTCAGACCACGTGATGCTTCGTCAGCAGGATTTTCTTTGGTGTCTACGTACATCCATCTCTCTGGGTTAGTCAGACTTCTGATTTGCTGCACTCTGTTAGCAACATAGACATGGAATCGTCTTGCTTCATTGTTTATGTATCCCAAAACAATCTTGCTGTCTGTCCAGTAATATTCGTGGAGCATCTCGTAACATAGCTCTCGTCGCAGGAATTCACTCACAGTTGCTGACACAGTTGCTGCTGCAAGTTCTAGCCGGGGGATGGTGACGAGCTTCAGAGGGGCCACTCTGGACTTACCAACTACAAAGGAACAATGTGCCTTATTGTTCTCATCGACTAGTCGCAGGTAGGAACACTGACCATAACCATCTTGGCTTGCATCGGAAAAATGATGCAATTCAACTGCTGTCACAGTTCCAAAATCCTTGGGCTTAAAACATCGCTGGATTTGGATCTTCTCTAAGCCGAGAACCTCTAAACGCCATTTCTCCCACTCAGGTTGTAGCATCTCTGGCACTGGACTGTCCCAATCAAGTTTGTCGCGACACATCTGCTGCAAAATTCTCTTCCCTCTGAGGGTTACTGGAGCCACATAGCCATTTGGGTCATAGATCGAACTTACAGTTGAAAGTATGCCTCGTCTTGTGAATGGTCTATCTTTCAACTCAATATGGAACTGAAAGGTGTCACTCTCGACACACCAAGTGACGCCCAGGGCTCTTTCCATTGGTAGTACATCAACCTTCAGATCTAGTTCCCTTGTACCACTGGCTCGCTCTTCTGCTGGGAATTTTTCCAACAGCTCTCTTTTGTTGGAGATGATTTTGTGCAGTTTCAACCCAGCTTTTCCACACAGATTCTGACTGGCTTTGATCAGTAATGATGCTCTTTCCACTGTGGGTAGTGACTTCAGTCCATCGTCTACGTAGAAATCATTACGAATGAAGTTTGCTGCCTCTGCTCCAAACTCATCCTCTCCGTCATCTGCTGCTCTCTTCAGCCCGAAGTTGGCACAGCCTGGTGAGCTAGCGGCCCCAAACACGTGAACTTTCATTCTGTATTCGACCACTGGCTTCTCTGGATCACCATTTTCCCACCATAGGAATCGCAGCAGGTCACGGTACTTCTCTTCTACATAGAACTGATGGAACATGCTCTTCACGTCAACCATAAAGGCCACTTCCTCTTTCCTGAATCTACACAGAACACCGAGAAGACCATTAGTCAAGTCAGGACCTTGAAGGAGATGGTCGTTTAGTGAAACGCCTCCATATTTGGCTGAACAGTCGAACACCACTCTTATCTTGTCCGGCTTTTTGGGGTGATAGACTCCGGTGTGCGGCACATAGTTTACCTTTCCCGCATCAACTTCCAGTTGGTCTAGGGGGACTTTCTCTGCACACTTTGGGATAACATCTTTCATGAACTCCCTGTAGTCTTCACGAAACTTCACATTCTTTCGGAATCTGGCGGACAGCTGATTCCATCTCTTGACTGCAAGTTGGCGGTTGTTAGGCAGGGTCGCAGCGTCAGACTTTAGTGGTAGTGGCATTTCGTAGTGGCCATCGGATGCTTTCTTTATTCCTTTTTCCATCACGCTCAGGAACTTCTCGTCTTCTACTGAGTATGGCTTCCTCTGATGATTCTCGACAAAGTCGGATTCCAACACCTTGAGAACTTTCTCTGGGTTTAAGACTTCTTTCACCCTCGTACCATAGACGAAGTGTTGGTATCGTTGTGGTTCAGCAGCAACCACTTTGTTGCATACTGCAGGTTGGTCATCGGTTTGTCGTGCAGCCTTGCACACGTTCCCAATTACTCCCCAGCCTAGTAGTGACCTCTGGCCGTAAGGGTCATCCTCTCCACCGGCGATGATTTCCCTGGGTCGAACTACTCTGGGACAATTGCTCCCGATGAGAAGAGATATTTGCAGGGTTGGGTCATAGGGCATGAGCTTCTCTCCAAGAGACTTTAGGTGGGGCCATTGATGCACAACCGCAGGTTTCGGTATCTGGGATTTCTTGGCTGGAACGCTGTCCCGCTTGAAGCAGACTGGAAGTTTAACAGTGTGCTCTCTATTGACATCAAGCACTTCAAGCCCGGATATGCGACTGCTGGTGATTTGCACATTTTGCTCTTGCATTGTACTGAGTAGTAACTGCGTCTCTGGTCCCTGCAGGTTCATCCTTTCACACAAACTCTTTGACACGAAGCAACTGTTGGATTGTTCGTCCAAGATGGCATATTCGAGGAACTCCCTCGCTGGATCACTCTCACTACGAACCAACACTGGTATAATCATGGAGTGGTCACCTTCTCCTTCTTGGTCTGGTTGGGAACACACTTGGATACAGTTGGACATTCCCTCATCTCGTTTGGGGTGCACAGCAATGACTTCTTTGGGTGGGGATGAATTGGTTGGGACTTTGTCAGCTGGTTGTTTACTTGCCGTTGCTGACTGGGGGTGACTTGAAGCAGTTTCTTCTGGCCGTCTCTGTTGGAAGTTGCGATGGAGACAGGTCAAATGGGCACCAGCGCAGATCCGACAAACTTTTTTGTCGTTACACTCTCTCACTTGATGATCACTGGAACGTGCACAGCCCATGCACAGTCTCTTCTTGAAGAAGAAATCCTTTCGCTCAGCGAGAGGCTTGCGCAGAAAGCGCTCACAGTCGTCCAGGAGATGACGCTTATTGCAGAAGAGACAACTCTTGTCACTGGACAACTGCACTCTGCTTGTTGGTTCACCTCGACTGGTACTAGTCGCAAAAACACTGGTGTTCTTTTTCGGAGCACTTCCTGCATTTGAACGTTGTTTGTCCTGACTTCGAACCACGCTCTGCAATTCAGGAATGTTTGCCCTATCTGCTGCAATCTTCACAAGTTTGACAAACTCGCTGAATGGGGGGAAGGAATCCTGACCACGGATCTGTCTCCAATAGTCAATCTTGTCCCGCCACTTTGTCTCAAGGTTGAATGGAAGTTTCTCGACTAGACGAGCATTCTCACTGGCGTAGTCCAGCACTCCAAGGCTTGCTGTGGTTGCTCGTGCTGCCTCTACTTTCCCCAGAAAATCAGAGAAATCTCTCAAGCCTGCTGCATCCCTCGGCGTTAACCTCGGCCACTGACGGAGTTTGCTTATGAAAGCAGTGCTCACTACACTACTGTTTCCGTACCTCTCGTTCAATACTTTTCTTGCCTGCGTGTAGGCCTCTTCAGTGCCGATGAGCATGTAGTGCTCCACTAGGTGCTTTGGTTTCCCCGTCACGTATTGATTGAGGTAGTTAAGCTTGGTGTCGGCGTCAAGGGGTTGGCTGTCGATAAGGGAATTGAAGGAGTTCCGCCACAGGGGGTACTGGAGTGGATCACCGTTGAATTGGGGGACGGCTATCTTTGGTAGCTGGCTAGATGCAACAAGGCGTTTGTTTACATCATGCTGTTGTCTACTGGACTCGGCCAACTGTGTAATGCACTTCTCAAGTGCCGACGACATCGTCATCCGTCCTCCTTCACTTTGGTGATGAGAATGATGTACACTGGACTGTTCATCAGATCTGTTCTGACTGGCTGATGTAACCATGGCAACTGGTTGGAGTGACGCATTGTCCACATATGCGCTTTCACTTTGGGGCACAGATGGACACAATGGAGGGGGGTGATCACTTTGATGCGAGTTGAGGAATCTCTGCATATGTTCATGTTTGTCGGCGGGGATGCCGGACAGCTCTGATGATATTGAACTGTCGCCATCCCGCTCCAGCGATGAGTACACCTGCATCACAGCTCGGGTTTCGGCCAATTTCCTCTCTATCTCAAGTTGTTCTAACTGTTTGTCTCTCTCGATCTTCATTCCCTCCACTTTCTTTGCTGCCTCCAACTCCAGGAGTTTCAGCTGTTTTTCTTTCTCTGCATAGTCTAGCTGGACCTGCAGAGCAGCCGCTGTTTTCGCTAGTTCCAGCTTTTCTTCCTGATGCCGTGCATATGATGATGTAACGGACACGGCATGACTGGCTCGACTGGAACTCTTACTTGACTTGTAAGACGACATATGACCAGCATGACTTGCTGCTCGACCGGCGTTACTCTTCTTTGACTTGTCAAACTTATGACTAGAAGACGACTGGATTGGTAACGACATGACGTGGGTTTATTCACTCTGCATGCTCTGGAACGACTGGACTTTGGTTGTGACTTTGATTGTCCTTTGTGGCTGCCTCGGGGCTCACTTGTGCCCAGAGGAGTTTCGGACTACTAGTTCTCAAACTTATGAGAAAAGGACTCCCAAGTGACTGGTATTCGCAATCAATCCAGGAACCACACACAAAACACAATGAAGCCACTTGACAACATGGTGGTGATTGCTGATAGTAGATTGAGTAGATTGAGATAACAATCTGCAATTTAATAAAGCAGAACAAACACTAATAAGAAAACTATAATAAAAGTACATGGAAAAGTCTAATCTATTAAACATGGCAAGTTGAGTCCAAAAATGTGAAGTCTGATTTGTCAAGGCTAAACACTATTTGCAGTTCAATCTGTTTTTGCTGAATGAATAATCAACTGTAAAATCTCAGAAAATCCACTGAATTCTGTCTCTAAACTTATTAAAAGTAACTCATAAAATCAAGGAAAATGCTTCTTACCAAAATGGGGTCTTTCAAGGTCCACAAAGAGTGAATAAAGTGATGAAACTTGAAGAACTAAATCGCAATGAGTATGAAAACACTTGTCTCTGAAATCACATGGTCAGTAAATATGGCTGCCCATTGTTTATGTGGCAAGATTATGTGGTACTTGTACCCACACAAGGTCTCTGTATGCACATGGGAAGTGCACAAGGTCACTCTGGTGGTGGGAAGGAGGCTACTTAATGCAACACATAAGTAGGCTCTTTCACTTTTATGAGGTGAAAGTTAACTGTAGGCTCTTTCACTAAATATGAAGTAATACTCTAAAAATGGAATTCTAAATTTAAACTATGAAAAACTTGTTAAGAAAATTAATAAACTTAAGACAAACTCACTGCACAGCTGCTGCAGTGACACTTTGTTCTTAGCTTTCCTTTTCTATCTCTTCTTTGTGTAGCCCTCACCTTGTGTGGCCCTTAAATAGAGCATAATGATGGGCGGCTCAGAACAAAATTATGTTAGATTACGTCAAATTTGTTGACAAATTCAAGATCGTTAGATTTTAGACTTGTTAGCTCCGTTCTAACATATTCTACCGTCTGTCACGCTTGATTCTGTAGGTTGCCAAGAACCACGGTGTAGCCAACACTGCTAAGCAGGTGGCTTATCTGTGGGCCAAGAGCCTAGGGGGAGATTCGGCCGTCAAGCTACTCACCAAGTTTGGTCTCTTGGAGTCGGCCATTGACTACGCCACAGAGAACTGGTGAGTAGGTCAGGGATCCCAGTCACTCTGAAAAATGAGTTGAGATTTTTTTCAGTCGGGAAAAACTCAGGGGAATTTGGGGAAAATAAACATACAAAAAATACAAGTTAGGCCCAAAAAAAAGAATACTCGGTCTCTGGTCAGCGCGTGCGTCGATTTTAATCATGCGCGTCAACCTTTTTTTCTTTCTTCAAATTAACACGGAAGCTACAACAGCGCCCTCTATTGCTGCGCCTCCTCAAATTTGTGTACCCAGGAGCACCAAGTAATTGGGAAATTGCACCAAGGCAAATGATAAAGGGCACCAAGGCAAATTATGGAGGACACCAATGTATAATGAGGACACAAAAAAGCAAAATAGTACCCACCCAAAAAATAGTAAGCCACCAAAAAAAAAAAAAAACACGTCACCACATCAATTCCGGAACTTCGGTCTGACCAGAGACCGACTATTTTTTTTTTTTGGCCTTAAACTCATGGAATTTGGAAAGTGACCCAGAGGGGACAGTTTTTCGCCAGTTTAGTGTATGTGTGTCTTGTGCCATGTGTCCAACTTGTGTCCATTGACTGACCGGCTGTGGTGGCTTTTTAGTGTTTATATGCAGTCCTGCAACCACCCCTTGTCTTCCCAGCAACCTCAGCTCGTTAGAGTGAAACTATTTGTCATGCAAGTTTGGAAATGTATCAGGGAAAAATCAGGGAATTTTGTTGTCATAAAGTGCTGTGAACCCTGAATGTGGTTACGACTTTTTATTAACAGGGTGATTATTGAATATTGCCTCTTACAGTGCGTTTGAGTTCGCCTTTGACCTGGCCCGCACCTCCATGAAGAATAAGATGCCGGACATCTCCCTGAAGCACGCCATGTTCCTGGAGGATGAGGGCAAGTACCCGGAAGCAGAGGCGGCGTTCATCAAGGCGTCAAAACCCAAGGAAGCTGTCTTGATGTAAGTAGCACCGATGTTTATAATAGTAATGTGTATTTGTAAAGTGCACCTATCCACCAGTATTGGTGCTCAAGACGCTACATCATTATAACCCTGCTCATTGGGCCAATGAAACATTCCAAAGACAATCTCATCTCCCTGGGGAGTATACAGCTGGATGCTGCCATTTTGGCGCAAAGCAGCTTAAATCGACCACAATAACCACCTCTGCCCTCACAAGTACCCATTTACTCCTGGGTGAAGAGAAGCAATGAGTGACAAAGTGCCTTGCCCAAGGGCACACACACCATAAACCCAGGCTGGACTCGAACCCACAACCTGCAGATTTACCCGCAAACCACGAGTTCAGTGCTCCAGACCAAGAGGGGCCACAGCATTCCAGGATTTGAGAAGATAATATTAAAAAGATAAAACAAGTCCCCCATTTTTTTTTCAAAACGCTTGTTTAAAGATGACAGAAGTATAGACGAATCCGGGCATATGATCACTGCACATTCACGAGGGCCCCTTCAATGGAGAATGCAATTGCACAAGCTATTGTACAAAGCAACTGCCCCTTGACAAATTATCTGAACAATAGCTAGTACAATAGTGGCACCATTGAAGGGGGCCTTTATGAAAGAATTAACAGCGTGTCATACAAATAGAGGTCATTACTGAGGAACCACGCTCTCAGGCAGATCGTTAGCGAAAGGTGCGCGCGCCTTGACTTAAAGAATGCATGCGACATGCATGCGATATTTGGATGCCTCCCAGTAACGATTTCTAATTGTGTACACAGGTTTAGTCTATAAGTCTCATCAATTTAAAATCCTTTTTTTGTGTGTGTCCAGGTACGTTCACAATCAGGATTGGGACTCGGCTCAGCGCATCGCCGAAGAATACGATCCGGACAGCGTGACGGACGTCCTGATCGGTCAAGCCCGTTACGCGTTTGACCAGAAGGAGTATCAGCGCTGCGAGGCATTCTTACTGCGTGCCCAGCGACCGGAACTAGCCATCAAATACTACAAGGTGAGTACAGCACAAAGGCGTATAGACTGCATCCACATGTGCCCCCTCTATGGTGTAAAAAGAGAGAGGTGTGGGACAATTTGGAAGATCTGTTGGGGATTTTTAGCCTGTACTCTACTCAAACGTGGCTCTAGTGACTTCTGCATTTATAACTTTCTTATTATTAATTCCTTATACCCATTAATCCCTTCACCGCCCCAAACCGCCCTGCCTGTTACTGCCTGTCCCAGCACCATATTTTTCAATGGATTAATTGGGGAATAAGTACTATAGCCAATCGTAATGAGATGTGGTCAGGGCTTTTGCATCATTCTGCGCCGCTCTGCCCGAGAACATCGAAGTGGCAACTAAACTGCCAAAAAGGTTGCGCAGTACACCGGGGTGCACCAGGTAAACGCCCAACGTAATACAATGTAGTACAGGGCCCAATTTCATGGCTCTGCTAACCACAGAATCTGCGCTTACGATCATCATTTTATGCTAACTGCTAGCAGAAAAATTCAGAAGCACAGAATCTTTAGTTACGGGATGTACCCATGCGCAGAAGCCAAAATTCCATGCTAACACTTGAAATGCGCTTACCGTGAGCACGGAGTTTTTCTGCAATAGTAAGCAGGGATTTTCTTTGCTAACAGTAAGCAGAGCCAAGAAATTGGGCCAAGGTGCTTATGGGTTTAATAAACAAAGGCTTTTGAATTGAAAAACAGGAAATTCAAAAGTATCCTATTCTTGTTTTGATTTGCTTCTAGCAATCCAACATGTGGCAAGATGCTTTGAGAGTCTGCAAGGAGTATGTACCGCACAAACTGCAGCAGCTGCAAGACGAATACGACCGAGAAGTGCTCAACAAAGGATCCAGGTAGGTAGAGGATGAAATTATGCTAAGCACAGAAGATATTTACTTAGCATAAAACAGGTTACCAGCTAAAAGCCATGTGAGGTTTATACCTGTTAGTTGGTGCTCAGCTGTATTATTGCTCAACACGACTTGGCTAAGCAATGTGTTCTGCTTAGCAGCTCATGAAATTATTCAATAATTTGGGGGTTTTTTTTCCTGGATATTCAGTGGTGCGGATGCGCTGGTTGGCCAGGCCAAGGAATGGGAAGCATCTGGGGAGTACAACAGATCTGTCGACTGCTATCTGAAGGTCACTACTCAACAGACAAATGACGAGAAGGTCCTAGTGGCCTGCTGGACAAAGGTAAGACTGAGTGACCAGTGAGTGACCACTAAGTGACCACTGAGCGATCATTGCATAACAGCTGAGTAGCCACTGGGTGACCACTGAGTGACTTCTGAGTGATCACTGAGTGACTACTGAGTGACCACCGAGTAAACACCAAGGGACACCGAGCGACAAGCCATTGACTGCTGAGTAACCTTGGCATGACTGCTGAGTAACCAATGAGTACACACTAAGTGACCACCAAGTGACCACTGAGTGACCACTAAGTGACCACTGAGCGATCATTGCATGACAGCTGAGTAGCCACTGGGTGACCACTGAATAGCCACTGAGTGATCACTGAGTGATCATCGAGTAAAGACAAAGTGACACTGAGTGACAAGCAAGTGATTGCTGAGTGACGTAGTGCTGAGTAACTGCTGAGTAAACACTGAGTGACCACCAAGTGACCACTGAGTGACCACCAAGTAACTGCTGAGTGACCACTGCATGAGTGCTGAGTGATCTCAGTTTGACCACTGAGTGACTGCTGAGTGACCATCAAGTGACCACTGAGTTGCCAATGTGTGACCACTGAGTGACTACTGAGTGACCACTAAGTGACCACCAAGTGTCCATTCAGTGACCACTGAGTGACCACCATCTCAAGAGTGCTACTCAAATCAGCGTCAAGGCCTTAGCGTTCTGCTGGACAAAGATAAGGTCCAAGTGACCATCTCCTAGGAGGCCACATTTGTTCTTGACTGACTGACCAGTGTCCAGGCCATAATAACCAATTAATGGTCCTTTTTTGCCCCGCAGGCTGCTGAGTTATCACAGAAGTTTCTGGACACGTCCAGAGCTCTCAGTGTTGTGCGCATTGTCGGCCCGAGATTGGCGGATGTCCAGAAATATAAGGAGGTGGGGCATGATATTTTTTTTCTTGCTGTCTTGTCATATCGGTGTGTCGCAATATAATACAGGGTGAATCAAAAAAAGCAGAACCCAAACCCCAACAAATATATTTCATATTTAAAAAAAACATGTAATACCAAAAATAATAATGACTGGAAAGCAAATTTCATAAGCTACTTTTAGATGAAAAAATTACTGAAATTGGTCAATCCGTTCAAACAATATCGCCATTTAAACACAATGATCCTAAAACCTGTCTCGTCCAAAAAATGCGATTTCAAGAATCGTCGTCACAATTGTCTTCAAACATCACCAGCGATACAATCTCAGTTTAAACGTTAAAAATATTCAACAAATTCCTTTTGAAGGCCCGTCATTTAAAAAAAGTTGATTTTATAAATCATATTCTTTGCCTAACCAGGGTTGTTAATAAAGATATTGTGTACTGCAGTTGGTGACAGTTGTTGGAACAAGTATTCTGTGTAATTTTCTTCGTTGTTCCAAACAGTCAAAACACACAATAAATAGCTTTTTTTGGACGAGACAGGTTTTAGGGTCATTGTGTTAAAAATGGTGATATTCTTTGAACTGATTGAGCAATTTCAATAATTTTTTCATCTAGAAGTAGCTTATGATATTGGCTTTCCAATCATTATTATGTTTGGTGCTACATATTTTTTAAATATGAAATATATTTTGGGGGGTTTGGGTTCCACTTTTTTTGACTCGCCCTGTAATGTTCATCTCCCTGAAAGCAATTCTCTCAAAATTCACGGTTGTATTTGTTATTTTCACAAATATACTTGTGCAGGTTGCTGAAATTTAACTGAGTATAGGGCATTGTTATTTCACAGAAAAAAAGGGGGAAAATGTACCACTTAAATAGACCAAATCGACATCTCGTGTGAGCAATGAAATGTGGGACAGAATTTTGGATAAACAAACCCACGTGATGCTGTTAGCTTGCTGTCTATTAGACTAGCCTCAGGATCGCGTGATGTGTTTTGTTTATCCAAAAATATGCATTGTTCATGAGAGTTTGCACATGCGCGAGTGAAATTTCGATTTGGCTTTATTGTGTGTAAAAAGAAATGTATTTCCGTTGTCTAGTGCCAAATGAATGTTGTTTGGTCACATCAAGTATTGGATGAAGACTTTTCCAACGATGCATTGACGTAGCAGTATTGCACTTGAGCCTATCATAAGTCTGTTTACAAGTGAATGATAAGACGATTCACAGTTGCAGTCACAATTAACAGGAACTGACCGATAATTAAGTGAATGCCTTTGGAACGGTCCACTTGTCATAGCTTGTGACTTGACATGGGGCTGGATCACTGGCGTGCCCTGCATTGTGGATTGTTCTATGTTTAATCCTGTGTTCCATGTGTTCTACAGGCAGCTGAGATGTACCTGAGCGTGGACATGATCAAGGAAGCCATCGACATCTTGATGGAAGGCGGCGAGTGGAACAAAGCCAAGAAGGTGGCCAAGGAGCTGGAGCCACGCTACGAGAGCTACGTGGACACCAAGTACAAGGAGCATCTCAAGAGCGAAGGACAGGCTGAGTCGGTAAGTCTTGGTCAAGATTCTTTGACGTTAACCTATTAGTCCTTGTAATGCCCCCAAAACACTACGTGTATCCCTGTACTGCCCCAACCTGCCTTGTCTGTTACTCCAGTACCACCCCAAACCACCCTGCCTGATACTCCCTGTACCACCCCACACCAACCTGCCTGATACTCCCTGTCTCTCCCCAAACAGCCCTGCCTGCTACTCCCTGTACTGCCCCATAACCCCTGCCTGTTACTCCCTGTACTGCCCCAAACCACCCTGCCTGTTACTCTCTGTACCACCCCAAACCACCCTGTCTGTTACTCCCAATCTCTGCCCAAACAGCCCTGCCTGTTACTCCCTATAGTGCCGCATAACCCCTGCCTGTTACTCCCTGAACCGCCCCTAACCTCCCTGCCTGTTACTCTCTGTATCACCCCAAACCACCCTGCCTGTTACTCCCCGCACCATGCCAAACCGCCCTGCCTGTTACTCCCTGTCTCGACCCAAACTACCCTGCCTGTTATGTCCCTGTTTCGACCTAAACTGCCCTGCCTGTTACTCCCTGCACCGTGCTAAACTGCCCTGCCTGTTACTCCCTGTACCACACAAACTGCCCCAGCACGTTATAGTTTGTGGATTCTTCAGGGACTGAACACAATGTAATACAAATGTATAATATAGTACAAGTGCTAATGGGCTATAAAAAGAACATAATGTTTTTAGTGTTTCATTTTTCATTTTTCTCAACTCGGTTGTAATTCAAATGTTGACCGGATATCCTTTTTCTTATACATCGAATATTGTTGTGTTGGATCAAATGGATATTCAAACATTTGAATATTAAATAACTTAAAGTATAGTAAGTCAGGCCCAACATTTGTTAAGTGCATTGGATGCATTTGTTGACATTGAAAGACTTTGCTCTGTTTTTAGCTGATCGGTGTTGACGTCATTGCGGCGCTGGACATGTACGCCGGCCGCGGCGAGTGGGACAAGTGCATCGAGACTGCCGAGAAGCAAGGCTTCAAGGTCCTGCACAAGTACGTGGCACTGTACGCCACGCACCTCATTAAGGAGAACCAGATTCACAAAGCACTGGAACTGTACGTACAACACGGGGCACCGGCTAATCCACAGGTAAACACACAGGGGGCGTTAAGGAATTGTTGGCTTCATCTCAGCTTCGGCTTTAAGTTCCGACTTTATGAATTTAGTCCCTGACTTGACAGACTCAATACAGTATTGGTCCTTTTTCTGGTACAGATTCCCAAAGTCTGTCACACAAGGTCCATGGTTGATGTAGTTGTGTTAGGTATGAATGTTGCAGGATTTGCATGAATCTTTGGTTGGAGACAAAGCCCAGAAGGAGCCAGAGTTTCGTAAACCCCCACACTTGACAAACAGTGTACTTGGGATGTCACTTTTGTGGACGTTTACTTCCCTATTTTTGTTCTCCTTAGTATATGTTGAAATCTTGAACTCCATAGCACTTCACTTGTGGGGTGCTGAGATTTCTAAAGACTGACTTCTGGGGTCACATTCTTCCCAATTGTTGTGCTTTGTTCCTTTACCTCTTATTTTCCCTTATATATAGTTATTGGTGTTCGGTAATTTTCAGTATTTTTAATTTTTTTTGCAGAATTACAACATTTACAAGCGCATTGTGATGGAGCTGCTTGCTAATCCCCACATGAATCAGGCGGAGGCTTTCCGCAACTGGGCAGACCTGAGGGATGTACTCTTCAATCTGGTAAGTCACAACCCCCCCCCCCCCCCCACCCTGGTCCCCGCCCCGTCACCTAGTCCCGCCCCCTCTTCCTAGTTACTGAACTCCAACAGAAAGCCGTAGAAGAACGCCATATGAAGCCATAGTGGAAACACCGGCTGGTGATCTATAAAGGACGAGTTGCTGTCTTTATCTGCAGTAGTGATTCACATTTGTAACATCGTGGTTCACCTGGTTTACCTGTTGTCCACCCACCACTGACAACGGTTCACAGTTTTCACATGTTGTGGTCTACTTTTGAATGCTGCAGTTCACTTTTTGCGACGTTTGCAAATATAATAATCACGACAGAAATGTGTCCTTTTTAGAATGTCATAATACGTGTACGTGACCAAGATGCGCGTCAAACCTTGATACAGTGTGCGCTGTATGTACACGTAGAACGTTGGCATAATGGTGGCCATTTTTGCAAGACCTGGGCAAACTGGTCAATGCAAATTCAACTATGTGACTGGTTGTATGGGCATCTGCTATTTAGTTTTTGTATAGAGATCAGTGGGCCTGATGCCCGCTCCTTACCCTATAGTCCCCATCCCTCCAATGATAAATAGAGTGATAGAAAACTCAATGCAAAAAAAAATAGACAAAAGGCTCTCCATCATTTTTTTTATATTGTTGTTGTTTTGTTTCAAACAGTGTGAACATATGACCAAGTCATCAGATGCCAACACAGCACAGCATGAGGAGTTTGAAGCCATGTTGACCATCGGTCACTACTATGCGACACGGAGCGTTTGTATGGGAACACAGAATCTGGTGAGTACATCTTCCTTCATCATCTGGGCCCGTTTCATGGTCTGCTTGCCGATAAGACGTTTTACAACACCTCACCCACAGATTCTGTTTCTAGATCGGCCAAATTTAAACACATCACATGGTATTTGCTGGGTATTTTAAAACTATTTTACCATGCACTCTCTAAAAACTATTTTACCATGCACTCCCTAAAAAGACTATATCACGATAGCCTCACTCTGATAAGTGTTATACCCATAAAAACCAAAATACTACACCATTTACATATAGAGATTTGGGACCAATTTCACGGCGCTGCTTAGCACAAAAATTTGCTTAGCACAAAAACGACTGGCTTATAAAAGCAGGTTACCAGCCAAAACTCCATATGATGTATATTGCTCGTGATTAGTATCCAGCTGTTGTTTGCTTAGCGTGAAAATCACATGGAGTTTTGACTGGTAACCTGCTTTTATAAGCCAGACTTTTTTTTGTGCTAAGCAAATTTTTGTGCTTAGCACAAAATTGACCCCTGTTTATGAATGTGCACACTGGAACTTGCCTTCGTACATATTTTTCTGATGTGCTACGAAGCAGAGTGCAAACATTCCATCAAGAGTTTGGCAAAATAGAGTTGAATTTTCAATCAATTTCAAAGTTACATGTAAACCACAAAGGCCGCCAACAACTCGTTGGAGTTTTCACGAAGAGACAACTTTGACAAAAATCAATATATTTTCGAAATTCCTTTTTGGGCCGAAATCGATTAAGTGTATTGCAACGGACATCTTGGCGAATTTATTTTGTCAAAATCAGATGAAATCATTGAGATCATGAGAATCAATAAAGGGAAAATTTCATCCAAGTCGTATTTTCAGTTTTCACGAAGAGACCATTGTAGCAAAAATGCACGTTGTTCTATTTGGACGAAATAACGCGCGTGTGCGATTTTGAGTTTTCAGTAAGAGACAACTTTCGAATGTGCGCGAGCAAAACGACGCGTGCGGGCAAAACGAAGCGCGTGTGGGATTTTGAGTTTTCACGAAGAGACAATTTGTGCGTGTTTGGATAGCGGAGAGTTTGAGCTTTCACGAAGAGACAATTGGATCATTGCCAATTTTCCCGGCAAAACCAATCGCCTGTGGAATTTTGAGTTATCACGAAGAGACAAATGACTATGGACGTTAATTGCTCCGCAATTAATTGGTTTATTGACTCGCAATTGGTACAATGTGTAAGTGTGAGATTTCAGCTTACTATCGGTATAAAAAATAATCAACATGTCCTCTAAAAGTAGGCGAAATCTTCAGTTTAAAAAGGGTTCAACTTTAAAGTTGATTTTCTCAAAACTATGTTTCAACGCCCGTGGCCACAATTCTCTCTTCGTGAAAACTCTGACGAACTGATGGCCCAGTTGGTAGGGCACCCGTACGGTATTCTGAAGGTCGTAAGTTCAAATCCCGCTCCAGGCAATGTCTTTCTTCAAATGTGGTTTTTTTTATTTCAAATTGAAATAGAAGTACATTTGGATAGGTTTCTGGTTTTGTAAAACTAGCCTCACCTTCATCTCAGGTCGGATAATGACTTATCAACTTGGGAGACCAGTAACTATACCACTCGAAACAGTCAATATTTGTATATTACATAGCTGGGATGCTTTTCTAGATCAGATAGACTTATCACCTTGGTAGACTAGTTAACTATACCACTCGAAGCAGTCAATATTTGCATATTACATAGCTGGGATGCTTTGCTAGATCAGATCGACTTATCACTTTGGGAGACTAGTTAACTATACCACTCGAGGCAGTCAATATTTGTATATTACATAGCTGGGATGCTTTTCCAGATCAGATAGACTTATCACCTTGGGAGACTACTAACTATACCACTCGAAGCAGTCAATGTTTATATATTACATAGCTGGGATGCTTTGCTAGATCAGATCGACTTATCACTTTGGAAGACTAGTTAACTATACCACTCGAAGCAGTCAATATTTGTATATTACATAGCTGGGATGCATTGCTAACAGAGAATGCTGTATGTTACTGATGCACTTGTCGATGTCTGAATTCTTTATATTTTGGTGATATTTACAGGAGACTTTAGCGGCCAAGTTGTCCATTTCTCTGCTCCGTCACACTGATATCATCCCAGCTGATAAGGCCTTCTATGAGGCCGGCATGCACGCTAGATCACAAGGAATGCTTAACATGGCCTTTGTGTTTCTGAACCGATTCCTGGATCTGACAGAGGTAAATATAAGCCAAAAGTTTTCAGAGTTTTCTCGAGTCAATCACAAGTCAAATCGTAAGCCAATCATTAGTCAGTCACAAGTAATCATACGTCAATCACAACAATCGCAAGTCAATTGCTAGTCAATCACAAGTCAGTCACAAGTCAATCACAAGTCAATCACATGTCAATCACAAGTCCATCACAAGTCAATCACAAGTCAATCACAAGGCAATCACAAGTCAATCACAAGTCAATCACAAGTCAATCACAAGTCAATCACAAGTCAATCACAAGTCAATCACAAGTCAATCACAAGTCAATCACAAGTCAATTACAAGTAAATCACAAGTCAATCACAAATCAATCACAAGTCAATCACAAATCAATCACAAGTCTTTCACAAGTCAGTCACAAGTGACTCGTCACAAGTCAATCACAGGTCACTCGCGGGTCAATCACAAGACAATCACAAATCAATCACAAGTCAATCACAAGTCAATCACAAGTCAATCACAAGTCAATCACAAGTCAATCACAAGTCAATCACAAGTCAATCACAAGTCAAGCACAAGTCAGTCACAAGTCAATTACAAGTCAATCTCATGTAAGTTTTGAAGATATAGAGGATAAACTATGACCAGGGAATGCCTTTGTCATAGTTCATTGGAGTAGCTTTTTGCTTAACTTGGGACTGGATGACATCTAATAGACTTACAAATGATTTCTGACGATTTCCTTGTGTACTTCCTTTCTGATACTTGGCTGCATCCATCCAAGTTATTTCGAACCGGAATTAACACTGAGTTTGACTTTTCCTGCAGGCCATAGAAGAGGGCAGTCTGGACATGTTGGATAATACTGACTTCCAAGACACGGATATTCCATTTGAAGTTCCCCTGCCAGAGCGTCAGCACGTCCCAGTAAGGAACACTTACTTACAGCATAAAAATATCAAAACAACTGGTTCAACTAAAGCCAGTTGTTAATCTCGTCAATTGTAAAGCTAGATGCTATAACGAAGATTCAGTTTCAGTATGCAACTAAGCACAAAATGTGACCTGTTCTGTCAAAATCAGACTTTTCTGGGCATAAGGTCAAAAATGAGATTTTTGCATATTGTTAAAATATGTTCATTATCCTTTTAATAGGTGGTTTAATTTTTGAAACCGGTCATTCCGGGGCAGAGTTATGCAATTTTGAAGTTCATTGTGTCGAAAAGTAGAAAATGGCCACGAACGTCACAAAACAGTAATTTCATTAACTGATCTACCTTAACATATCATCAAAAAAACTATATTTAGAGTTCAAATTAGGGTTTCAAACTTTTGTAGTATATTTTAGACATGTTCAGGATTACAAATATGTAAACATTTAAAAAACGAAAAAAGATCACCCCACAGCGTGTTTTTGCCCTATCTCAATTTCAACCTCTGCCCAGAAGCGTCTGCTTTTGACAGCACAGGTCACAAATTATTGCTTAGAAATAAAGTGTATGCTATTCAAAAAATCAGTTGAGTCACAAGGAGCCATAATCACATGATATTTAGGATGGTTATCTTTTTTTGTACTAAAAGCAGATTTCTGTGCCTATAGAATCTCCTTGAAATGGCTACATCTCACAACTATATGTGATGCAATTAAAGCTACACGAGTCGTTTGTCGGGAATGTTCATTTAGAGATTCAGGCCAAAATAGGGCTACTTCATCACATCACTTCATCACATCGCTTGGTGTTCCGACTTCCATAATTTTTGAACTAAAGATGGTACCAGCATGCGGTTTTCACAGCGGTAATGCTGAAATTGTGCTCTTTTCAAATCTGTAATAAAAAAATGTTGACTGGGGTCAAACAAACGACTCATTTAGCTTGATCGCATCACATATAATGGTCTGGTGTCATGGGTGGCATTGGTGTTCAAGGCGCTACATCATTATTACATCAGTGGGCTCATGAAGCATTTCCGAAGACAATCTCAGCTCCCTGGGGAGTATACAGATTCATGCTGCACAAAGCAGCTAAAATCAACAACAATAACCATCTCTGCCCTGACAGGTACGCATTTACTCTTGGGTGGGGAGAAGCAATGAGTGACAAAGTGCCTTGCGTATACAGGACACACGCACCGCAACCTCAACCTGTGCTCAAACCATAGAGCTATATTAAATTACTAGAGCGCTAACTCGCCATTCTGCGCGCGGAGATGCTTTGAAGCCGTCCTAGGCGCAGACATTTTGAATTCATGTGCGTGTTTGTAGAACATAATGAAATTAGATGGATTGAATTTTGAATGTGTACTCTACATGCAACGCGCAAGTAGAACACACCAAACAACTTAAACGCGTCATTGACCGTTCCAAAAAACGTGACGGCAAAAAACATCTGTAGCGAATATGCGCATGCGTTGCACTGTTTGCGTAGAGCAAAATGACACGCTCATTTGCTGATCGTGTGTTTCGGTTTTAGGCATATTGGCTTCGATATGCAAATAGCTGTACAAGAGCCGTACATATGTTTGTGCACAAACACGGATGCGCCCAGCAGGCATTACTTTGTACACGAAGTTAGCGCTCTGGTAATTTAATATAGCTCTATGGCTCAAACCCACATCCTGCAGATTTACCCACAGACCATGAGTTCAGTACGCCAGACCAGGAGGCCATGGCACTCCTCTGGATATGTACACTTAATAAACAAACGTTGTTTTCTTCATTGATAGGAGGATAAGAAGGAGGAAGTTAAGGAGTGGGTGCTGGCAGTATCCATGGACCAACAGGTGGAACAGTCTTTAGATCATGATGAGAGAGAGACTTACGTAGCATCCTTGGTAGCGGCGAACACCAACATTCAATCACTGCCTTGTGTTATAACTGGTGAGTTACTACCCCTTCAGCACTTGGAGTAAATTGTATTACATTGTATTGAAATAATTCCAACGATGGTCGGTTGACCATCATTGGAAATTGATACAAAAATTCCACTTTTCTTGGAAATGACAGCACACCAAGTGTCATGATACATTGTATTTTAAAAATTCCAACGATGGTCGGGCGACCATCATTGGAAATTGATACAAAAATTCCACTTTTCTTGGAAATGACAGCACACCAAATGTCATGATACATTGTATTTTAAAAATTCCAACGATGGTCGGCCGACCATCATTGGAAATTGATACAAAAATGCCACTTTTCTTGGAAATGACAGCACACCAAGTGTCATGATACATTGTATTTTAAAAATTCCAACGATGGTCGGCCGACCATCATTGGAAATTGATACAAAAATTCCACTTTTCTTGGAAATGACAGCACACCAAGTGTCATGATACATTGTATTTTAAAAATTCCAACGATGGTCGGCCGACCATCATTGGAAATTGATACAAAAATTCCACTTTTCTTGGAAATGACACCACACCAAGTGTCATGATACATTGTATTTTAAAAATTCCAACGATGGTCGGCCGACCATTATTGGAAATTGATACAAAAATTCCACTTTTCTTAGACATGACAGCACACCAAGTGTCATGATACATTGTATTTTAAAAATTCCAATGATGGTCGGCCGACCATCATTGGAAATTGATACAAAAATTCCACTTTTCTTGGAAATGACAGCACACCAGGTGCCACGATTTCACAGAATGCTTCAGACTATTATTCACTTACAGTCCAGTAAGGCATTTCATAATAATTTGGAAATTTTTTTTTTTTTGATGTTTGCAAGAGTGCCTCTGCAGGAAATATGTAAATATATCCTGGTTAGACCAGTGTTGCTCTGGGGCCTCACAAAATATGTTTCAAAGGATTGTTTAATTTCCCCAAATCTCATCCCGATTTGACATACTTGTTTCAAAGAGTTGTTGAATTCTTTGTTGATTTCAGGTTATCCCGTGCTGAGGAACAAGCTTGAATTCAAGAGACCCGGCAAGGCTGCCAACAAAGATGATTGGAACAAGTTCCTCATGGCTACCAAGGTAACGTTACATTTTATTACAGGATTCCCACAGTCATGGAAAAAAACCTGGGAAAACCTAAATGGCTTGAGACTCGGATCCAGCCCAAACGACTCCCGACTCGGACCCAACCCAAATGACTCCCAACTCTGACCCAGCCCAAATGACTCCCGACTCTGACCCAACCCAAATGACTCCCGACTCTGACCCAACCCAAATGACTCCCGACTCTTACGTCCCAACACAAATGACTCCCGACTCTGAACCAACCCAAATGACTCCCGACTCTGACCCAGCCCAAATGACTCCCGACTCTGACCCAACCCAAATGACTCCCGACTTTGACCAAGCCCAAATGACTCCCGACTCTGACCCAACCCAAATGACTCCCGACTCTGACCCAGCCCAAATGGCTCCCGACTCTGACCCAACCCAAATGACTCGGACCCATGCAACCCAAATGACTCGAGACCCGACCCCAATGACTCGAAACTTGGACTCAACACTTGGTACTCGGACACGGACTCAATGCAGAGGGCTCAGCTCGGACTCAACACTTAAGACTTAGACTGGACTCGAGGTTTTAGGACTCCATGCAAGACAAGTCTGGTCACCTTTTGTCATTTTTTTATTCCTTCATTTTAGATGTCACACAGCCCCGACTGCCAAGACGTCTTGAAGTTTGTTGGTCAGTGGTGTGGAGCAGCGCCCAATCAGAGCTATACATTCCAGTAAATCATCTCAAACTTCCCTCTTCAAGACGTGGAATTGTTGAGCTGGTCCCAGAGGGCCAGCCTAGTGTCGTCTTTGCACCTATCTCACTGACTGACTGACTGACTGTCACTTGTGAACCGGGCAGTGCTATCACGGAGGATTACCGAGTAATGCCAATGAACGTATAGCTATTTTTGGCCAATTGTGTATAGCCCCGGTGAAAATTCCAGTTGAAACCAGTTCAAAACCAGTCCCCATTTTTCAGTGCAAATGGTACCAGTTGAAACCAGTTGAACTGGTTTGAACTGGAATTGTGAGCTGGTGGACCAGATGCATGAAAAGACTCCCAGCGAAAACCAGTCTAAATCAGTTGAAGACTCAATCTTGTGCGCTCTTGATTTGTTTTACTAGGCTTGCTTTGTCTTGTTCAGTAAAGTTTTCGACATTTTATGCCTCTTACCATGCATTCCACTATAACAGTGGTGATGCTTACTTAATCCATTAAAGACTACATGTACATATTTCTCAATGTACAATGCTATGTGTCCAGACCCTTTTTTCCAATTTGGGCGATTCACAATGCAGTGCGCCACCAAGAGTTTGCCATGGAGAGTCCATCTTTCAACTCTATACGGTCGACAAAACATGGCCCATTTGAACGAGTGTCAGTAGACAACTTGAGCTGATTTGTTATAGATTGGGGCATAGCGTTCTGCTGCCTTACAAAAAAACACCATGTTGATACAAAGAAAAGAAAAGGGCCTCAAATACTACTCGAATCATACGCTTACAAAACAACTGACCGGAAAAAATAACAATTTTAAATGTCCCGCACTGCGAATTTGTCGCCCGTCTCCCGCAATGCACTGGCACTGGGAAAAATTACCTCTGTGGCAAACTCTTGGTGGCGCACTGCATTGCGAATCGCCTGAATTTGGGCAGATTTTGTCCTTTATATGATTCATTCACATTTCTTGGAAACAACAAGGTGCATCTATGTTGAAAGGTCTTAAACTGGACCATATATTCAAACCCTTAAAGCCTATAGCTCCAACTTATAAAACTTGACGAGCATTTAGTTAAGTTCTGTGCTCAAATATATGATTATTGACACAATGTCTAATGTGAAGATACAAGTAATAATAAGTGATCATAGAAATTTTTTTAATTCAATATTTATGTTGTGTGTGTATATGCAGGGTGTCCAGCTTTTATGATTTCAAGAGCTATAGTATTCAAGTTGATAATTTGTTTCTTCAAAAGAACCACCCTTCATAAATTGCAGCATCTAAATTCCTTTTTAGAAAAGTTTGTTCTGATATGTTTCTTGTATAGGTTAGAATTAATCGCCATGTTGACTGTTGGAGTTAAAGATGTAGAAAATGTTCTGGACACTTCTCGAAAGTCTCTCTATGTTGATGTTAAAACATTCCCAATGATTTTAGAAAGTGTTAAAGTGTGTACTCGTATATTAAGCTTCATTCTTGTGAGAATTCTATACATAACATTGTGAAATACGGACTGGTTGTGTATTAAAAAAAATTGATAATACATTTCGTTTCAGAGTGTCTTCATTTGGATTTTAGTTGTGATGTGATTTTCAGTATTTGTAAGTTGTAATAGATTTTTTTGATTGTAAATTTAAATGTGTATATTCTTTTGCTTTTGCAATGCAGCCAATGACAACCACAAAATAGCAAAAGAAAAAAGTTCAAGACTGTAAACCCTTTCCCATTTAGAGAAACAAAAAAGACAACTTACAAAAAAAAACACCTAAAAAGCAAGGGGAAAAAACACCAATGATCGCCCCTCGGAGGTGCTGATGACGATACAAACATGCATATACCTCTAAGGGCGACCTCAATGGTGGCTCCTAGAGGTACATACCTCTACGGGCGACCGTCAATGATCGCCCCTACAGGTACTGATGACGATACAATAAAACATTTTAATTTAACACACATTGTGTTACCTATTATGACCAAAGAGTAGAAATAAATTGCACTTAAAAACAACGAATTTTCCTTGAGTTATCGTCTCCACAACGAGTAAATTGGTTTGGTTCAACGAAGGTTGACTCTGAAATTGGCCTTAAGTACTCTGCGCGCTAAACACGCCTCATTGATTTGGTTACAATGTTTTCCTTGATGCATTATTCCTCCCGAAATTCAACAGATTTGTGTTATTTATCTTGTTTAATCAATATAGGAAATTAGTAATTTGCGAATTACTACATAAACACTGCTCACCTCATTTATTTTTGACTGATTTAACCCAAAATTCGGTCGAAATTTCATTTTGAAAAGCACATCTGTCCATAAATCATGTGTTTTAGGGTACTTAAGGAATATTTCCAGCAAGTTTGGAGATATTTCATTTTTTGTCCAAAATCGAAAAAACATGAGGGGTATAAACCCCTTGCAATTTTTGTCAATTTTGGTCAAAAAATTAAATTGCTCCAAACTTCCTGGAAAGGCTCCTAAGGGCACCTCGAACACATTCCAACTCGATTTAAGGACAGATATATCAACACAAAGAAATTCATATTTTGGCCAAATTTCATTAAAAATGTAAAGCTAACCCCTTGCAATTTTTGTCAAATTTGGTCAAAAAATTAAATTGCTCCAAACTTCCTGGAAAGACTCCTAAGGGCACCTCGAACACATTCCAACTCGATTTAGGGACAGATATATCAATACAAATGAATTCATATTTTGGCCAAATTTCATTAAAAATGTAAGGCTAACCCCTTGCAATTTTTGTCAATTTTGGTCAAAAAATGAAATTGCTCCAAACTTCCTGGAAAGGCTCCTAAGGCCACCTCAAACACATTCCAACTCGATTTAGGGACAGATATATCAATACAAATGAATTCATATTTTGGCCAAATTTTATTAAAAATGTAAGGCTAACCCCTTGCAATTTTTGTCAATTTTGGTCAAAAAATTAAATTGCTCCAAACTTCCTGGAAAGGCTCCTAAGGGCACCTCGAACACATTCCAACTCGATTTAGGGACAGATATATCAATACAAATGAATTCATATTTTGGCCAAATTTTATTAAAAATGTAAGGCTAACCCCTTGCAATTTTTGTCAATTTTGGTCAAAAAATGAAATTGCTCCAAACTTCCTGGAAAGGCTCCTAAGGGCACCTCGAACACATTCCAACTCGATTTAGGGACAGATAAATCAATTCAAAGAATTTCATATTTTGACCAAATTTCATTAAAAATGTAAGGCTAACCCCTTTCAATTTTTGTCAATTTTGGTCAAAAAATGAAATTGCTCCAAACTTCCTGGAAAGACTCCTAAGGGCACCTCCAACACATTCCAACTCGATTTAAGGACAGATAATCAAACATTTTTGCCCTAAACATTTAATATTATGTCGCCCCTTGAGGTTTCCACCTCTAGGGGCGACCATTAAATGTCGCCCTCAGCGGTTGTGACCGCTAGGGGCGACCATAATATGTCGCCCGTAGCGGTAATTGCTACCGCTGGGGGCGACCATTAAATGTCGCCCGCAGCGGTTGCAACCGCTAGGGGCTACCATAAAATGTCGCCCCTAGCAGTTGCGACCTCTGGGGGCGACCATTATGTCGCCCTAGCGGTTGCTACCGCTAGGGACGACCATTATATATCAATACAAAGAAATTCACATTTTGGCCAAATTTTATTAAAAATGTAAGGCTAACCCCTTGCAATTTTTGTCAATTTCGTCAAAAACTTAAATTGCTCCAAACTTCCTGGAAAGAACTCTAAGGGCACCTCGAACACATTCCAACTCGATTTAGGGGTAATTATATCAATACAAAGAATTTCATATTTTAGCCGAATTTCATTAAAAATGTAAGGCTAACCCCTTGCAATTTTTGTCAATTTTTGTCAAAAAATTAAATTGCTCCAAACTTCCTGGGAAAGACTCCTCAGGGCACCTCCAACACATTCCAACTCGATTTAGGGACAGATATATCAACACAAAGAAATTCATATTTTGGCCAAATTTCATTAAAAATGTAAGGCTAACCCCTTGCAATTTTTGTCAATTTTCGTCAAAAAATGAAATTGCTCCAAACTTCCTGGAAAGACTCCTAAGGGCACCTCAAACACATTCCAACTCGATTTGGGGACAGATATATCAACACAAATGAATTCATATTTTGGCCCAATTTCATTAAAAATGTAAGGCTAACCCCTTGCAATTTTTGTCAATTTTCGTCAAAAAATGAAATTGCTCCAAACTTCCTGGAAAGACTCCTAAGGGCACCTCCAACACATTCCAACTCGATTTAGGGACAGATATATCAATACAAATGAATTCATATTTTGGCCAAATTTTATTAAAAATGTAAGGCTAACCCCTTGCAATTTTTGTCAATTTTGGTCAAAAAATTAAATTGCTCCAAACTTCCTGGAAAGGCTCCTAAGGGCACCTCAAACACATTCCAACTCGATTTAGGGACAGATATATCAATACAAATGAATTCATATTTTGGCCAAAGTTCATTAAAAGTGTAAGGCTAACCCCTTGCAATTTTTGTCAATTTTGGTCAAAAAATTAAATTGCTCCAAACTTCCTGGAAAGACTCCTAAGGGCACCTCGAACACATTCCAACTCGATTTAGGGACAGATATATCAATACAAATGAATTCATATTTAGGCCAAATTTCATTAAAAATGTAAGGCTAACCCCTTGCAATTTTTGTCAATTTTGGTCAAAAAATGAAATTGCTCCAAACTTCCTGGAAAGGCTCCTAAGGGCACCTCGAACACATTCCAACTCGATTTAGGGACAGATATATCAACACAAAGAAATTCATATTTTGGCCAAATTTCATTAAAAATGTAAGGCTAACCCCTTGCAATTTTGGTCAATTTTGGTCAAAAAATGAAATTGCTCCAAACTTCCTGGAAAGACTCCTAAGGGCACCTCAAACACATTCCAACTCGATTTGGGGACAGATATATCAACACAAAGAAATTCATATTTTGGCCAAATTTCATTAAAAATGTAAGGCTAACCCCTTGCAATTTTTGTCAATTTTGGTCAAAATATTAAATTGCTCCAAACTTCCTGGAAAGACTCCTAAGGGCACCTCCAACACATTCCAACTCGATTTAGGGACAGATATATCAACACAAAGCAATTCATATTTTGGCCAAATTTCATTGAAAATATAAGGCTAACCCCTTGCAATTTTTGTCAATTTTCAATATCAACACAAAGCAATTCATATTTTGGCCAAATTTCATTGAAAATATAAGGCTAACCCCTTGCAATTTTTGTCAATTTTGGTCAAAAAATGAAATTGCTCCAAACTTCCTGGAAAGGCTCCTAAGGGCACCTCAAACAC